CACACCCGCACCCACGCACACCCGCACCCACACACACACCCACGCACCCACACACCCACACACCCACACACCCACACACACACACACACACACACACACACACACACACACACACACACACACACACACACACACACACACACACACACACACACACACACACACACACACACACCCACTCGCACTCGCACTCGCACTCGCACTCGCACTCGCACTCGCACACGCACACGCACACGCGCACGTGCGCGCGCACGCTCACACGCACACAGAGACACAGACAGACAGACAGACAGACAAAACAAAAACACACCAATCAACGGTGGCGAAGCAAAAGCTGCCTTACTTTGAACTTGTCATACTGCCGGCCTGCGTGCCGAGACAAAGCCATGCTGTCTGTGCGGCTTCACTGCCTTCACCTTTGCCCAGCTTCATTCCCACTCGGATGGCTGTCAACGAGGAAAATGTGATGAGCAAGCAAACGGTGATTGGCACAGTGGCTTGTGCTGCGGCGGTGCTTGAAGCCACTTGCAAAACGCCCAATTTGCCGACCAATAGCGTCGTTGATTGGGAGATCAGGAACTGAAGAAGCATGGTGCCAACCTGAGGCAGAACTTGCGCAAAATATGGCCGCAAATATTTGCGCTGCAGAAAATCGCAGCCCATTCCGGGCCAGGTCGGCGCATGTGACTTGGTAACTACGAACATGTACAGCCAGTAAAAGAAGCTCTGCACAATGCGGGAGCAGCTGATTGACAAAGCCGCGCCAATGAATCCCAGGCCTCCCACATGCCACCAGTTTCCGTTGTCCGGGCCACCGAAAACAAAGATCCATAAGAAAAGTGCATTGACGAAAAGGAAGATCAGCCCAAAGTACATGGCAGGTCGTGGCTTGCCTTGGGCCTGGAAGTACATGCGCATGGTGACGTACCAGCTGTTGGGCAAGACCCAGATGCTGTTGTATCTGGCATAGATTCCTGCCAAATAGCAGACGTCAGGGTCAAAGCGTAGCCAGCTGAGAATCTCGTCTACGAAGAAGAAGCCCGTGATGAAAGGAATGGTCCCCAACGTCACGCAGAAAAGGCTCAACCTTGCACTTCAAGAGTGGGACGACAGCCAAAGCAAAAAACCATGCATCATTGCTGGGAAGGCTGCCGTGGTTCATAAACATTGGATACGTTAATCATACTTAATCGTCTTATGACATACATTAAAGCTTCCCTGAAGCGATAACACGACATTTGCGACACGGCGGAGGCAGCAGGGCAGGAACAAGTGAACTTGTGCATGGTTGTGAGCGCAGGGCAAGACAGCACGACACGCATACACACTCTTTGAGACACACACACACACACACACGCTCGCACACTCCACAGGCCCTTCCAGCTCCGAAACACATGCTTTAGAACAAGCTTGGCCGCTCTCAAGACCAGACAAGGATGCGCCGAATCATTCTGAAACCCGGATTGAGAAGACCGTGCAAACAGTCTTTTGACTGCTACTGCTATGCCCTCGAAACACCACCCACGCAGTGACACCAGCCAAGTCCCCCACAAGCAAGCAACGTGACAGCGGTGTCTCGCACACAAAGCATCAATACCCTCCCGAATGTGCAATTTGAATGCAACACACTGCCGAACAAATCCTTTTGCTGCGAAGCACATCCCGAACGTGCAGTGCTAACCGTAAGCGAATGCGGACCGTGAGGGCTCAACACAAGTGTGCTCAGTAGAATGAGTGATAACAGGGGCTCAGCCTTTCCTGTGAATTCTTGCATTCTCTGTTTCTTGACTCGGACTGGAGCTGTTCTCAACATTGCAAGTCGCTGCAACTGATCCCGAGGGCCCGTGGGCCTGTCGAGACATGCCTTGGAGTGCACCTTGCTGTGCGCCAGTGCATGAGCTACCTGAGCTATCTTTCTGATGGCCAAGAGTTAGGCGTGACTGCAAGCAAGAAGCCCTCTAAGATTTCCTTTGGCATGTGGCGTAGCTAGCAACGAGGACAACGCCATCGTCAGCGGCTCCCGGCTCGCATGCCGGAAGTGGCGAAGGTACCAGGCAGAAGGCGTGCTTGTGTTCAGGAGCAAGGTTGACTCTCGTAGTTGTTCTGTTTGGTATTGCTTTCTCTGCTTCTTGAATTGAGGAGCGCTTCAGATTGTGAAGGGTAACGGGGCGCTCGCTGCTTCTTTTCTTCTTGCCTTCTTCCTGCTTCACCAGCCAAGCTTGCGAACTTGTTGCCTGCTGAGGCAAGAACCAGAGGACAAGTACAACATTAGACAACCGCCCTACACAGCGGTTGAAGCATCCAAACTTGAGCTTTGGAAGGGCGCCATTTTTGAAGGCTTGCCATCTTTTGCTTGGGGCTATTTGCAAAGGCTTTCGGACTTGCGCTCCTGTGGGTTTGGCTTGCTGCCGCGTTTTGCGCTTGAACGGCTGTCGATTTGAAGAGACTTGCACTCTTCTGTGCTTGGAGTTTGGTTCTTGACAAGTTTAGGTTTAGGACGGAAACATGCGGAACCTTATGACGGATCTTCTGTCATCCCTCTTCCCACACACCAACTCTTGCGTGCTTGGTAAAGTCAGGACAAACACAACCGAAAAAGTAGAGGTTTGCCAAGGGCCTGAAGGCTGGCGTGGCAGCAGCAAGCACACACACAACATAGTGAATCGCCACTATTCAATCAGAGGCACTTTAGCCAAGTTCCAACCATCTTGAGATTTCCTGAGCCCACTGACTGCGCAATCAGCGGGTTGAGTCCAAAGGACATTGCCAACAACGGGGTCGTCAGAAAGTTGGTAATCATGTCCTTATACGGCATGGCATGACTCTGAAGCCCGTGAGGAAGGCACACAAACATAGGCTGGGTGCTAGGGCTTAGCAGAGCCTGACAGCGTCTCAATCAAAAACCGGCTTCATCAAACAGGTATGGCCAGTCTTGGTGCTAGTCTCTGAGAGGCTCGAGGCTGCCAAATATTCCTTTGGGGTGTAGACCTCCGAGACGGTCATGCCAACCATCTTGGACTCGAAGCTGTCTTGAAGCTCCATGAGCTGTGGGGCGTTCAACACCGGACTTGCCCACGGAAATGTCCAAACAGGCTCCGAGTTGGTCTCTTTGGCCAGTGGCTTGTTGTTCAGATGGCCCACGCATGCAGAATCCATGGAGAACATGGCGAATCTGCAGAACATGCTTACAGCAATGGGCCACCCTAAAGCCCACATGCCCGCGAACTCCTTTCGGCAAAAGGGACCCCAGGGCTGGTGTCTGTCAGGTAGTCGGGACTCTTCCAGGAGAGCAGCATCCCGGGCCTGCTCGTCCGCCATTCAAGCTAAGAGGCTACGCAGCTGCGCGCTTCCAAAAGTCTGTCTGAGCCCACCATGCTCCAACATTTGCACACTGGTGCCCGAATGCTGCGCACTCCTCTGCAAAAAAACTCCTTTGAAAAGTGCCGAGGGTGACGGACTTTGGTGGCATGGACATGGTTGCTGACAAACCCTTACGATAACTCTGCGTATGTGTGTATTTCTTTCGTGTGCCGGGAAGCAAAGGGTATTTTCGTTAGCACGTTCCAATGGTGCAGTTCTGGTTTCGTTGACTCCGCAACATTCCTTCAAGATTTCACATCGTAGGATTAACAGCAAGGAGGCCGGTCGCGGATGCAAATGCCAACCCGACGAAGAGGCATCCGGCACTGATGTTGATATCGCACTCACTTGAGTCACTTGACGTCTCTAGGTTTCAGGTGCGTCTGCGTGCTGTTCCTCCAACCCTGCTTCTGAGGGCGGAGCAAAAGTAAAGGACAAAGCCCTCGCTCCCACGCACGCTCTCCCTCACAACCAGCAGCTACACATTTTCTTTCTCTCTTTTTGTTTCTCTCTCCGCTTAGCCCCTCCGACAAGGCAACGAAGTACGAGAACACCGCATCCATTGATGGATCTCCCTGCCTCTCTTTGAAATGTGCATTTTGGCAATACAGTAGAACACAGCGGAAAAACAGAATTCCTATCTGGGCGGCATGGTTGAAATGCGCCCCACCCTCAAATTACGCCTCCTGTGGTCGTGCCGTGGGGAAGAACAAGACACCCCGCAACCTCCCATTTCAGCACCCAGGACCCAACTCCTCCCCAGGGATTGCCTGTCTGATTTGTGGTGTGCGGAGCGAAACAGATTATGGGTTACGTATGCGGTTTCTGCCCGGTCACTGCAAGCCACGAAGATAAGTTTCTTCAAGGTTTTAGGCCTCAATACCTTCACGCACCAGTCGGGCAGTCGCTTGTGGGTTAATGGGCACCAGGATCATTGTAGGTCTTGGACTGTTGTCAAACATAGAGAGGGGCTCGAGAGATCGCTGTGCATGTGCACGGTTGCCCTGTGTACGCCGCTGCTGTCTTCTGTGGGGGGTTGGGGGCGCGAAGAATGCATGTAAAAGAGACGCTCGCCGTGGGCACTGCTGCCATCTTTGAGACGTACGCCTTTTTGGTTTGGAGCTTAGACGATGTCTCCCATAGGGCTTCGATCTTTGAGCCTGCTCGTCATCCATGTGTGCGGCGGGCACCTGAGCGAGCGCGACTGTCGCTCGCGGGTCGCAGTTGCGTGCATATTGGAGGTGTGGGCCGTTTGAGATGCACATCGTTGCCTGAGGAATAGCAGCTCAGCAGCTGCACCGAACTCAAGGGAATCTCTTGCGATCTACATATACTTTGGTCCAATGGTAGAGACTCACGTGTACGGTTCAGGCTTCGCAGGCCTCCAAGGCAAGCACTGAGGTTCGGATATTCCTCAAGGAGTTATGGCCAGATAGACAGTGAGAGCATAAACCAGAGCAGTGAGAAGCAGGAGCCTGAGATGCGAAAGCACAGGTGCCATCGCGAAGGCAGTCGACGGATCTTACAACCCTGGTGGATATACACGCATGGCTGGCTTCCACGTGGCAATCTCTTTTTCACCCTTCCACAGTCATGCAAAGAAAGAACGGCAGTCGTGCGCCCACAGGGCAACCGCAAAACAGCTTAGCGAAGAGAGAACCGCAATGCTCGTCATATACAGTATGTATCCCACCCATTCCCCTTTTGTCCAATATTTCCGTAGCTCCGATGAATGGCGACCCCCCTTTTTTGTCAAAAACCTCGAACCATTCCATCCCAACCCCCCCGCCCATCCCCGATGAGAAATCATGTTTTCTTTCTTTGTCAGTACTTCGGGGTGTGGAATACTGACATCGCCTCCACTGTGGGATCCATCGTTGTCCCGGGTGCGTCTTACATCTTGACTTTCATCTCGCAGTGATGTGCTGAGGAATGCAGGCGCCGAGAGCACGCGCCATTTCTACTAAATCGACCAGCGCTTTCGTAGCAGAAATCTGCAGCATTCCTAGGATCACAGACGTTGGCTGTCGATCGCGATCACACATTGACAGCATGGAGTCCAAGCTTGCATAGTCGGGCTGCAAGGCGGAGGCTTCGAAAATGCTCAAGAGACCCAGGGTCTGCATCCATGCACCCAGAGCTTCCCTGCAACCGACGACGGCAGATGACGCAGTTGAAAGTGAAAGAACATCAGGTTGAAGCATCCAACCATGCAAGCCATCCAAGACGCCCAGGGCAGCTTGCCACCTGCCGGCCACGCTGTAGGCCCCAATGAGGGCGTTGGCCACCACCAGCGTTGGGGTCTGCAATGGGCCATTGTAACGTTTGTAGCAGCGTTCGAAGAGATGGGTCGCATGGGTCCAGGCTCCACGGTCCCCACGGCACGCTGCAAGTGATGTGGCGCATGTCACAAGACTTGGCCGCAGGCCGGAATGATGCCCGATTGATAGGAGGTGCAGCACGTCATGCCACCTCCCTGTTCTCTCTGCAACGGCCATGACGGCTCCGTGCGTGACCGTAGTTGGAGCTGGTCCACGGCGCAGCATGTTGCCGAAAACGTGGATGCTTTCAGACCACAGGGTGGAAGCTGCACATGCTGAAATTGCTGCATTGCAGCAAATCGCGTTTGCCTTCAACCTGCTTGTGCTCAAGGCCGCTAATGCTCGCAGAGCCCATGTGCCACCTCTCAAGGAGGCAGATACCGCACTGATCGCCGAGGAAAAAGCTACAATGTTTGGATGTGGTCCCTCTGTCTGCATGTGAGAGAGGATATGCACTGCGCGCTGCCATCTCAAACTGACATCACATGCATGCAGGACGCTGCCGTAACTCAGGACATCCAGTTGTCCACGTTTATGCTGTAGCGATAGTGCCATCTCAATCGCTGCTCGCCACTCGGCAACTTTGGCACTGGCTGCCAAGCAAGAGTTTTGGACATGCGAGCTTTGTGATTGCGCGTCGCCCTGAATGCTTCCGAGATGAAATGCTAAGCTCCACTGAGAGCCCTTCTCACAAGCGCTAAGTGTAGCACCGCGGCAGACAACATCCGGGGGTAGTCCGCACTGCGTCGTACTTTGTGAGATCAACAGGGCAGATTGCCAAACCTGTCCTGTTTCGCATGCGCTGATTACAGAGGTGGCAGCTACGACGTCCACTTCGACCGAAGCATCGGACATGTCGGACATTTCCTTCGACCTGATCGTGGACTGTGTGCGCGTGGCATGATCTTTTCAGGAGTAAAGGCTCGTAAGCTATTGACTGTTTATGGTGACATGTAGCAACGTTATCCGTTGGACAAGGTGCAAAGCCAACGCCATGGCCCAGTGACCTCCAGGCCAAAGCAGATGCGGCAACACAAGCATCAATAAGCTCAATAAGCGCAATAAACTAAATAAACTCAGTAAACTCAAACTCAATGCACTCAAGACGCTCAATACACTCAACAAACTCAATAAACTCAACAAACTCAAAAAAAACCAATAAACTCAATACACTCAATAAAAGCAATAAAGTAGGAGTTGCCTCTGCATGCACTGAGTACAGTCCCAAAAGCCACTGCATCGAGTCCTGGGGTGCAAAAGGAACTCAGGAATGAGTCAACAAATCAGTGCTCACATCGCACGCGCATGTGGAGACCAGCACCATCGTCCTCCGCCTCGCAGCTTGAAGAGGCCAACCTCGCTTTCAGATGTTTCGGGTTTAACCACATGAGGGTAGCTTTCAGATCAGCTTCTTTGAGGCCTTGCACAGCACAGCTCAAGAACCAGCCGATTGCAGATGAGCAGCCGCGGCTTGCTCCCAAGCTCGCCTTCTTGCCAATGCCGAAAGCTGTGCCTCAGCAAGCCAGGCCACAAATGGCCACAAATCTCTCATGAGGCAACTCAAAAGTTGATGTCCCCGATGCCACTGGAGCAGTCTGTGCCCTTTCACAGCAAACCCTGCACGCTGCTGACGAGGTGGTGAGGAAAGCCCTGGCTGGCCTGGAGAGTGGGAAGTCTCAGGCTCACCTTCTGATCCCAAAATGTCCCAAAGAATCTACGTCGTGTTGCTGTCTTGCCGCTTCCTTTACAACGTCTTTCGTAGTCACGTAGTCTAGCACTGGTCTTGACAATAACAAACTCCGCCCTGGGTCTGATGCTTGTGCCATTGCAGCACCCGTGCAGGTCTGATTTGCCAAACATGTGCCAGGAGGCGGTTTGCTTCTTCAGCTTGGCGCAAGCTGCATTTGACGAAATCCGCCCCATCCACTGCCATGGCAAAGTGGAACCCGCCGCAGTGCCCTCTCTCGCTCTCTCTCTTTTTCTGAGGGTTTTCTGACCCAATCGCATTGCAAAACGCTCTGATGCTCGGTATGCTTAGGGCTAAGTACCTAAAGAAGTCCAGCAATCTACTTCCTTTGAGAACTCATTTGCCGTTCGGCATACCCAATAGCCCTTGATTGAGCATCAGTCCAGGCTAGTAACAAAGCTCACGCTTACTGACTTGGGCATCTGACCACCTCACCTCCACTCGAGCTCTGGACGCACAGATCCATAGCACAACATGCCAGCTGCCTGGGGACTTTTGCATTTTGAAAAACCAGCGCTCCAACAGATCGCAGCACGTCTGCTGACCGAAATCACCTAACCCCTGAAAACGGGTTGGAAGGCGGCGGAGACTTTCTTGACTAGTCCTCATCACCAACATGCGCACAGGTTCGATGGCTCGACGTTCCACAGCCCAGTCCGTTGTTGTGCGTGGACGTGCACTGCGTAATGCACCGGCCAGCACTAGCGATTCTGCAAGGCTCGTGCGATTAGATGGTTGCGAGCCCTTCCAGAATAGGCAGCCCTGCACTCGCTGCATCAACAGTGCCGTACGCATGTGTACCTTGGGCTCTGATACTGTTGAGCGAAGTGCGGCGTTAAGTGCGAAGCCACTGGTGGAGAAGCGGCCACACGCTACTTGCATTGCCATCAGCTGAGTCAGACAATGCTGCCACTTCTTGGCCACGCTACATGCAGTCACAGTCGCAACATAGCTCATATCATCCGCCTTGACTCTCATCTCGCCCATTTTGTGAAACAGAGACAATACCCATTCCCACTGCATTGGCCGCTCACATGCGCTCATGACAGTGTCAAAGCTCACGGAATCCAGTTCAACGTGAAGGGCAGGCGCGCGTGACAGAAGCATCAACGCCCGTTGCCATTGCTGGCCCTTCTCACAAGCACTGATGGCAGAACTAATCAAAAGTAGGTCCGGATGGAGGTGGTCCAGCACTTCCTCGAGCAGACCCAGAGCACGTTGCCATCTTGTGGCCCGTTCGCAAGCAGTGAGCACAGAACTGAAACTGACAACGTCCGGTGTCAACTGATCATCTTCCATGCAAGCCAGCAGCCCACATGCTAAGCTCCAATTGTGTCCCTTCCCGATTGCAGCAAGTGCTGAATTGTAAAGAACCGTGTCAGGGGCTTCGCCCATGCTTGCCATGCCCACACGACAGGCGTCGAGCAACAACAAGGACCGCTGCCACTCCGTGGCCTTCCCGCATGCAGAAATCAGGCCGCTGCACAGCTTCCTCAACGGAACTCCCTGAGTCCTCGCCTGCTGTGCCAAAGCAGTAAGGTCGAGCAGCTGCTTCCACTTCATTCCATGGAGCACCTTGAAAGTTGAGGCTTGTCATGAGTAGCGGTGCCAAAATGCCGGAGAGGGTGACCACGGACCGAGCCGCTTACATGCACAGCGTCAAGGAACAACTGGAGAACGGCTGTCCCGAAACCGCTTTTGAGCCGCGATTAAGACTTCATGAGACCTGTGAGTTTCAGCAGGACGAAACGTTTGGAAGTCGACACGACGACACGGTTCAGCTGAGACATCATCCCGTCCATTATCAAAGTAAGGCGTGCCCACGACGAGGCGTGCCTGCTGATCGCTCATGCCATGCGAGTTCAAGGATGAATTCAGAGCCAACTTCGACAAACCCTGTGTGGGAGCGTGCAGGACATGCGTCCGGAGATGGACGCCCTGCTTGGGAACTGGATGGATCCTACTGCAAACGGGACAACAAAAGCACGAACAAATGCCATTTTTTGGGAGGGTGCTGAAGTCGAATTTGTCATCATGCCACAAGGAGAAACATGCCACAATGCTCCCTGTATATAGAGCCTTGTGCTGGGTGTAGTCTGTGCTTAAAAGTCTGCTTCGGATATCCGAGGCTTGGCATAAGAACCAGCCCGTGAAAAGTGTGTTCGAGAAGTTTGAGCGTGGAGGAGCGATAGTCGAGTGGCTGTGTGCTTCCAACACTGCCCAGCTCTGTCCTGGTCTGTGCGAGCCAGCCCCGAATTGTTAGTAAATCTTGTTTGCCTATCCGTCGGCGTGATGGGATGGCCTGCATGGTGATTTGTCACAGATTGGAGCCAGCAGTAGAACCTGGAGCCTCTCACTCCCCCTTTTTGCCTTGGCAAAACAGAATCAGAAATGACACGAGTTCGCCGCCCTCGGCCTGCCTGCGTGAAGCAGAAACAAATCACAGATTGCAAGTTGATATGTGCATTTTGCATTTCCTCTTGCCTTCACAAAGCAGAAAGCAAGGCCGGATTGCACACGATGACAATGCATACATCTCGTGTGCTACTTCCTCCATAAAGCAGAAACAAGTCACAGACCAAACGACCGTTCGGTAGGTCGTTGTTGCTTTTGCAAAGCAGCGCCACATGACAGAGGACACACATGATTTTGTGCATTTCGCCTCCCGTCCGCTGTCACAAAAGCAAATCACAAACGAGGCTAGCCAACATGGTTGAGGCTTTAGGGTTTAGGATGTGTAAGCATCGCCTGTCTTGCCTTCACACAGCAAGAGTGGCAGGTGCAACATGAGTCTCGCCCCCCGGGCTTCTCTTCTCAAAGCGCCCCAGCCTATAATTCCACCCTCCCTCGTGTCAAAGGTAGACGTCAAATCCAGCTCCATTGCCCCTAAGTACTCGAAAGCCCCGTCAGCTCTTGGTCCACCAGCCCATTGAACTCGGTTGTCCAGGGGTTAGATAAGGTTGAGGTTTAGGGTTCTTAAAAAGGGGTACAGGGATATATAAGGATATACTGCCTCAAGTATGCAGAACCAAATGGAAACGAACTTTTTAAATGACATGGAACCTACGGTTGACAGAGAAATGAGATATATTTCCGAAAGTGGAAGGCACGAATCCTTGCAACAAAGGGTCCCATTGCCGCTCAGAACTCCATTAAGCCAATTCGCACCACCATTCCTTAATCTTTTCCTGTCAACATAAGTGATGAGTAGTGATGCAGATTTGGTTTTCAGAAATTCAGGAAAGATTACAGCACTTGCGGGTTCTCGTGTATTCTCCCGTCTATGGTTCACTTGCACCTATTCAAGTTACCACAATATGGGCATATGGTGAACAATGCTTACAGTAGCTTACTTTAAGTCCCTTAAAAGCAATACAACTTTTCTGACCTGGAGCCACTAAATGCAGGGGTCCACTGTCGTGAACAAAAAAAAGTGGCGGGCTACTCAGTCATAGATGTTGCGGCGCGGAAACACCGACACAATGTTCCGCCCTGCTCCTTCATCTAGGCGCCCATCTTTTTTGTAGAAAGCATGCCTTTGCAGAGTAGGGTTCGCTGTTTGCAGGTATCGGTAGGCAGCGTCCCCAAACAGCCCTGCTTGCGGCAATCACGATTTCTCCGCTCTCGCCTTGGGCGAAGTTAGGTGCAACAGCTGAGCATGTTGGCCCTACTACATCCCGGATCCTTGTCAGGGCGTTCAGAAACATGCCTTGATGCGGCAAGAACTACAGCAGCTCTCAGTTTATTCACTGAAGGAACTGTTTGGTTGGCCTTTAGCCACTACTCGTGGTCGACAGCACCCCTCGGCGCCCCGACTTGGATGGGTGGCAGCGGAGGCATGGAAAGCCTCAGGCTTGCGGACGTCTCGGCTGGCCGCTCTTCCGTTTGCATTGGAACTGCGACAGGCCATGGCGGGCTTTCTTGGGCCGGCTTGTGTTCCAAGCCTCCTTTTGGGGAAAAAGGTGCCGACGGCGTGGGAGCTGCAGGCGGAGGTACAATGCCTGGTGGGAAGGCCGGGGTAGGAGCCACAGGCCGAGGCATAATTCCTGGCGGGCGTGCCGGGAATTCTGCAGGTCCTACCAATTGAGCTGGAGGCCTGTGGCCAATTTGAGGTGCTTGAGAAGGCTGTGCTGGCATGTTCGAAGAATGCTGGCTGCTTGGAGCGCTTGGCGACCCCAGACCTTCCACAGCAACAGCAACGTGTCGATCCAGATCCAGATGCATAAGTACATACGCGGCCTTTACTGCGCCGTAAGTGCCTGTCACCATCTTGTAGAGACCTACCACCAACGTGATGTCGTATCCGAAGAGTCGACGCGTACTCTGACTTTCACTCTGCGGGAAATAGAAATACGCCACGGACACGAGCAGCATCGAGGGAGTCGCCTCGATCAGCTTTTCTTGCATCAGTATCGCCAGCAGGTTGTCTGTTGGCCACCCACGCGAACTGGACTCTGCAACTGCGTGGTATACTGTGTGAACACTACCCAGTTTGCGCACAACGCGTGATTCTTCCCAGAGGGTGATAAGAATGATGGCCATTTGAAATGCGAAGAACCCGTACATTCCCAGCTCGAAGAATTTCCATGCCAGGAGCCCATCTGACACAAAATCCGCGGCGAAACTCATCATGTCAACGTGCAGCATCACATACTCTGTCCACGTAGGCTTAAGCTCCGACTTTCGCATTTGTTCGGACAGGACACTGGCCCTTTCCTCGACTCGCTCTTGCAGTGCCAGGTCCGCTTCTGCGGCGCCAGAAAAAACGTTTCCCACGCAGAAGCACCGGGAAAGGAAGCAGCATCCACAACAAGAACCACATATGAACACTGAAATACCCAATCCGAAGGCGAGTGACAGCGTGTGACTCATGTCAGTATCCGCATTCTGCTGAGCAGCATTCTGCTGAGCAGCACTCTGCTGAGCAGCATTCTGCTGAGCCAGGTCCGCAAAGAGAGCTCCTTCTGCAAAAAAATCTGGAAACATCCGCGCAGCATAAATAAGTGGGTAACACGACAGAAAGGAGCCGACCCGCAGCAAAACCAAACTTGTGATGAACCACCTGGCCGGCCGCTGCTCCTTGGCCAGACCGAAGGCAGAGTAGTCACTGGGGAAAAGCATGTGCAGTGATATATCCCTGACATCAAACTTCCCGGAGGAGAAAGTACCAGCCCTGTGCAAGGCAGGCACAGGGAGGAGCACCAGAATCACAACGGACAAGCCTTGCGTATTCATGCAAGTTGCAGAAGGGGTTTCAGCAAAACATTCAACAGAAGACAACAGTAACTTATTTCTAAGGCCAACAAGCAACTGGGATGGAAGTAGCCGGGCATAAGCACCGTGCCCAATGTCGCGATTTGACCCAGAATCCACAGCCACACCTTCCATGATTTGGCTTGCTGCTCGCGCTTTATGATCTCCTGGGTTGCTGGTAAGGAAATGAAACTAAGTTACCAAAGCAAACCCTCTTATCTACAGTACTATATACCCGGTAACTGAAATCTAAGTTTCTTAACCAGCAACCTAGTCTCCTGGCAAGCCTTAAGCCTCCCTGCGAGCTTGAAGGAGGTGTGGACATCCATGGTCTCGGGACCAACTCGCTCTTATTTGACTGGCCTGTCACAATGAACAGGCTTGAGCCGACCCATCTGCATGTTTGCAAGCAATGGGCCACTGGGTCTTGTTGCTGTAGCTTTTGCAAAAAATGCGGTGAGATGGACATGCAGATCTGGTCCTAGGTCATGCAAGGAATGCCAGATGCAAGAGACACAAGCAGGGCAGCCAAATGCAGAAGTCTGACCCCTCACAACAGCACGCGCTGCGTGAACTGGGCGTTTCCCAAAAAGGTTGTCTGAAACAGTCAGAGCATTTTGGACGAGGGCATGATGAAGATGAAGATGGTTCATGCTCTTTTGAAGGAGATGGGTGGCATCTCGTCCAAAAGCGCGCCGAAGATGCTGACCTTCACGCTCATTTACAAGAAGGAGGGCGGGACAAACACGGAGCTCTCCAAGGAGTTCAAGTTTAGGGAGGATGCGCACTGTGGCGCCTTCAAGCCAAAGGTTAGTGCGATGTTCTTCCTCTTCATCGCCGACAAGAAGACAAAGCCAATACGAGCCACTCGTGCCAACGAGGGCGATGCAGTGAACACAAGGGCAACCGTACACTCATCATCCCTTTCCCCGATGAGTTCTCTACACCCTGCGACCTCATTCACCCGAACACCCGTGACCGTGAGGTCCAACTCCAAGGAGGCAGTCGTGGAAGAAGATGAATGAAGGCGATGAGGGTGAGAAGCCGACCATGAAGTGCAACCCCAAGGAGGAGGCAGTCGTTGAAGACGATGAGGGTGAGAAGTGATAATATAGTCTCATTACTCATCTGATTGAGCGACTTGGATGCGTGTAGTGGTTTTGTGCTTACTGTCTCCCGTTCTCGTACTTAATCCCTTTGTCAGCAATGGCTGCTCACGATGGCGACAAGAAGGGGAAGATGGTTGAACAGCTGGAATACTACAAAGTCAAAACACAGCGTCAACAAACAAAGGCATTGCCTGACAACAGCCAAATTCGCAACGGAAGAACGCCTCAACATCGTGAACTTCTGCATGAACGGCTCAGGTTCTTCAATCCAAAACCGCACCAATATGCTGAACTTGGATGAAGTCAATGCTTTGTCAGATGCTTACTGGTCTGAGGAGACAGGAAACATGAGCGAATTGTTCGTGCAATTTGCTAGCATCTTGTCCATCAAATCAAGTTGTTGGAAGACATCACGAACCACGGTGATGAAGCACGAAAACTTCTCAGCCTTGCTGTTCAGAAGGCCCATGAAAGGAGCACAAGTTCGTTTGTAAACTTTGCCGCGTGCTTGCCTTCAGAAAGAGACCATGCGGGTTCAGCTTAGACAGGCCAATGTGTGAGACGCTGACTGTGTAGTCTCGTCCCGCACTCTTGCTCGCAACAGACCACATAAAGTGAATATGTCTGAGCCATATCGCACGTCCTGTTCGCAGCGACCGAGATTCCCTGGCCTGTCCTTATTCCGGGGCCACTCCGGCACAGAATGGCACTCAGATCCGCAGCTGGGCCTCCCTGGGGTAGGCACCGCACGCCTCTACAGCGTTACCTGAACCTCTGTTTAGTTTCACGCAAGTCCGCCGAGGCCTCGGGCCGGAGGTGTATAGGTTGTCAGAACAGGCACCCCCCTCCACCCCACCTCCCCCCTCCCCCACGCTGCGGAAGAGTCGCCTTCAACCAAGGGGCCTGGCTCAACCCTACGATCACTCCAAGCCGAACCCCAAACCCAAAAAAACCCTCAACCCCAAAGAGTGAACCTTGAGCCCTAAACGAACCCTCAACCCCAAACCCCAAACCATAAACCATAAACCCGGAACCCTCAACCCTCAACCCTCAACCCAACCCTTATTGCTTGGGGTCCAGCGACTTGGGCGCTGCGGAATCACCATGCTCACGCGCATGCGCTGGGCCGGGCCGAGGCGGGTCGCGTAGCGTTAAAATTAAGCTTCTGAACCTTCGCCCGCCCCTCCAAGGCTTGCCTGTGAAATTTGTGTTAAAACGTTGATAATTTCAGGACATAGAGCATTCCGCAAAAACTCCCTGGCTTGGTACCCTGGCCGGCTTCTAGTACTATGTCACATTTCGACGCAGTCGTCCGCCTGAACATGCCTGAGCCTCTCAGCTTACAGTCTTAGACCGATGAGACAGCCACACTGCGGAACAGTTGCCTGCGTGGGGCTTGCTGGGCGACATTCCAATACAGCCACCCTCCCGAGCTTTCCTGGAATGCCTAGGGACATTCACCTGCCCTGAATGTTGCGCAAATGCCACGTTGTCCCTAACATCAAACAACCCTGCTTATCGAGTGGCTAAAAAACTTTCAAAACACAAAGCACAGAACACAATGCCCCCCTCTCAGATGTGTCAGTGCCAGGACCGCAAACCCCTGCAACGAGTGTAGCTAGTGCACCCGGTCGTACTGCTCTGACAGATCTCTCTTTTTCCACGAGTAGTTCAACCGCTCCGCACCGAGTCTTTGTGCCTAGTAGCCGTAACTTCAGCTGCCTCTGCCTCCGGCAATGGTGCCTCCACGCGTCCACTTCGATCCATCTGGGAACACAATGCCACTGCCATCCCATTTTGCCACGACCTCCTTGGGACCGGGAATGCCTGACTTGGACAGGTCAATGGTCAGCTCGTTGGAGTCTTTGCCGGGAGATGAAAGCTTGGCCTCCCAGAACTTGAGCGAGTCGCCGCGCGCACATCCCTTCTTGGAGTCCACGAGCCGTTTCTCACGGGCCATCTCGACTGCCGTCAGGCCTGGCCAACGGAAAACCACTTTTTTTGTTCACAGCTCTTGGGCATCTTCAAGTCCTAGTATTGAGCTCAGATTTAGGTGCAAGTCATGGATCAGAGCATGAGAGCTTCGCTTAGGCTGCTGTAGGGGAAACCTGGGCCTGGGCCTGCCGAGGCAGCAAAGCTGAGTCACATATTTGCGCACATCTTTGCCATCTGAGTAACATACGACTATCTTTGTGTACCTTCTGCATCTTGGAAATGCTGTCAGTGCTATCCCGGAGGCGGTCTCGCTTTGGATGTTTCTGGGAGTCTCTTTTGGCCACCTGCCCAGAGAAACCTCTTGGGGAGGTGGTGATGGTGGTTTAGGTGGGATGTGGAAGTCGTGAGCTGGCAACGTGCAACTTACAGGCCACTGGGAAGGCATCTCGATGATGTACTGAGACTGAGACCAGTCCCCACCGCTGGCACAGCACCGCTCGCACCGCCCTCCCCCCCTTCCTTCCGTCCACGCTTGGCACTTGGCAGGTATACCATGTCATCTTCCCTGCCCTAGTTCCCACACATCCAAACCTGGCTTTTTTATCGTCCGTGCCCCGGCTTGGAAAGGTTCTAAACTGTTCTCAGCCTGTGGACTGAAGTAAGGGACCTCAACGGCCCCGGCGAGGTATGAGTGTCTTCTTGGTCTGGCAACCGGGCAACTCTGCAGAAAACTCGTCTTGTTTCGACCCTCATGCTCTTGCAGGCGCATGATGGCACGCGATCGACTGCAAGCAGTCTTCAAGCACCACGCCAGCTCACTTGGCTGACATGCTGTGCTTTCTTGCTCGAGCTTCGGCAAGTTTCGACCCTCAGCTTCGGATGTAGAGGCTGTTCAGAATGTTCAGGCAGGACCAGTCTCAACTTGACAGCGCTCTTCTGGTGTTTACCGCGCGGTTCACGCTCCCCCGTGATCTTAACCCCTCATGACGTCATGGGGTGAATGTCCGGAACAAGATGGCACACGAGCTGCAAGTTTTCTGAGGGAGGCCTGGGTTCATCCCTGTAGACTCTGCACCTGTGAGCCGGCCCTTGGTACCATCGAAGTTCATCACGATCTCACGCTTGCATCCCGGAGCATCGGGATCGTCCCAGCGCCCCGCCCACTTGGAAGGAGCTGAAGCTGCCGCATCTGCCGCTTCGAAGGATCCAGGGCTGAAGCCCACCGCCCCCGCCGAAAAAATCTGAAAGACACTCCGCCGCGCGTGCTCGAAGTGTTGGGGGCTGTGGTTGACCCTGGAACCTGGGCTCTTCAGGCAGCCTTCCCCATGCAGCCGTGTCCCCATGTCTCCCGCATTCCTGCATATGCCCCCCCACACACATCCACAAGGTAGTGGTCTTAAATTCTGTTCCACTCGAGCGGAGCACGGAGGGGTGCGGAGTTTACCAAGGAGTTGTCACTCAGGCCCCCGCTTCGCAAGACGAAAGTTCTGGCCATCTGGCAGCAGATCAAAGCCACCGCCAACGCAACGATACTTCCCATTCGTCGCTTGGGCGCCATGGCGGCAGCTTTCGCTGGGTAGACGAAGCTTTTGTGCCTCGTTGGGGAGCCTGGAGTGACTCAGCAGGAGCCAATCGGCTACAGCATGCTCGCCGGCTGCTCAGGGGGATAACGGTAGGCCGAATCTCCATTCCGGGCAATAAAACTAGAATGTAACTCTACTTTCAGGGTTGCCAAAATGGGTCAACAACGGTGGTTGGAAACAATACCCGCGAATCTCTAGCTGCACTCTTCTCAAGCTCCCGAACTTCCTGCCATTCGCAAAAAGTCGAAGCAAGCGAGCCATTTTGAATGCACCACCTCTTTCCCTTCTTTCACAACAAGCGCCTACCATTTTTGCCACGACTTGACTTGCCAAGGCTGTGCCACTTTGGTGCGAAGCAGAGCCACGCTGTCTCTACATGCTTTCTCGAGCAAACGCACGAGCACACAGCCATTTTGGATAGTGTGGCTTGTACGAAGCAGAGCAGTGTCGGTTCGGACACATCCAGAGAGAAGTGTGCTCTGAGACAAGAACATCATGAGCTGCCACTTGCTGCTCACGGCACATGCCGCACAAATTGTATCCATGCAGTGATCCTGTGGGAAACTACTTTGCCACATTTGCACCGTGGCGAGTGCTGTGCGCCAGGATCTTGTTTCTAAACAGCCAAAATCAACATAGAGGCTTTCATCAGCCTGAAGCCGGGCAGAGGCCCAGCTAGAAAGCATACCCAGTTGCTGCTTCCACTTGCCACACTTCCCACACGCACCAATGGCAAGCGCACAAACCACGGGGTTCTCTGCCCCCGCCGGCATGATCTCAAGTGGCCGCTTCCACTGGAGTCCATGCAGGCAGGCCTCCTGAATCGCCGAGGTCATGACCTCGTTTTGTTGCACACCTCTGCTGGCAGCAAGCTCCAGCAGTGTCATGGCCTCACGCCACCCCTGTGATCCTTGTGTTCCGGCCATCAAGGAGCCATACGTGTGGTGATCTGCTTGGGAAGTGCCAGGCATCAGGTCAAGCAAAGCCAGTCTTAACTGCCAGCTTTCCGGGCCCACAGATGCTATCAAAGAGTTGCAATAGACCTGGTCAAGTTCACAGCCGCTGTGCTGTAAAGTTGAATGCATCAGTAAAGCAACGTTCCACGCATGCTCTGAACATGCTCGGCTCAGGCATGTCCACGCCTGTACGTTGGGCAACGCTTTCCTGCACAAATGCACTGCTTCGTGCCAGCATGCTTCCATGGAAGACAGAAGGCTGACGACGGCAACCTTGCACCGAAGCAAAGGTAGCCGAACCTGGCATCCTTTCAAGACATAGTCCAAGCACCGGCTCCAGCTGGCACGTTCATAGCTGGAGCTAACACGGCTAATGACTGCACTCCAGGAAATCAAGTTAGATTCCAGCCTGCGGCGAGCTAATTCAGTGTGTATCAACAAAGGTGCCTGCCACCCCACCGCATGAGTTCCGGAAGCGCTGCGTGTAAGAAGTGCCGTGACTGAGTAGTTGTCCAATCCGCAAGATTTTGAGCACGCGTCGTTGAAGCAAATCAGGGACCTCTCCCAGGCCTCTGCCCTGCTGTATGTCAGCGCAAGTGCATTGTAGGTCTCCCGGTCGCCTGCGATCAGTGGGGTCAGTGCCCTGACCAGGTTCTGTGCCTTTTGCCATGCCGAGGAAGCCGTGGAACACGAAGCAAACGAGGCGACGACTGAGTTTACATTGATCTGATCTGCTTCTATGCTGGTCATTGCCATCCTTGCATGCAACGCCAAGGCGACCTCCCAGTCACCGCACGCTCCAATGTTAGCAGTCTCGCAAACCACGTTGCTTCGCACCTTCTCTCGAACCGCGCAAGACAGCAAGAGCTGCGCATGGCGCCAGGCTGAGCTGCGGCATCTTCCGCACGATCGGAGTATGATTGTGTGCGTGGCTGGATCACTGCGTAACCTCATTGAGGTTGACAGCTGGAAAATGCTGAGCACCGATGCCCAGGAAGAGAAAGATTCTTTCAAAAGAGAGTTCAGCGCGATGTCAATGCCTTGCGTGCACATGCGAGTTGGAAGCCCGCCCTGCGAGATCTGCGAGATCTGAGAGGCGCCCAGGGAAGCTCGGAGCTGCGAAAGGCATGGGAGTCTTTGGAAATGGGCCTCTGATACGACGGTTCCGGGCATCTTGGGCCCATGCTTTTCGAGTCTGTGAACCTGGAGCCGAAAACCTCGAGTCCAGGAGTCAATGTGGAACAGCACGTTGCAGGTGGGGCTTGGGCTTACGGGGCTCACAGCCTTAAGGGTCACCCTACATCTGTTGTCGGCCGTTCATACCGACAACTGACGAACATCTACAAAGGAAACCTGATAGGGCTTGCGAACTGGGCTGCAGATACGTGTTACGTACACGAGATCCGAAGCGAAGTGTCTTATAAGCCTCCATCTCTCTCTCTTACTATGTCTCTCACATCTCTCTCTCATCTCTCTCGCTCATCTCTCTCGCTCATCTCCCTCTCTCATCTCAAAGCAAAGAGGCCTTGCTACTGAAAAACCCAGAGTCTATGGCTAGGAATCTCAACGTTACGTCCGCAAAGGTCAAGGTCGCTCAATGCATCTCACTAGGTTCTTGTTCGAGCAGTGCATCTCAAAGCAGGGTCTCTGTGATGGGACAGCTGCTGCTCTTCTTCTGGTCTGCATGCTGCAGCTTTGTGTCCCTGGTGCTGAGAAAACAATGAAACAGGATTACGTATCTAAAGAAAGGGAAGTCTGGTGTTTAGTTGGAGGGAAGCTGAGACTTCGCGAAAACGGGCAGAACGAGGCAACATGCAAACGCTTTGTTTTATAGCTCCGCGGAATCACGCTGCCAGAGAAGTCTTCAGAAACTTCATTCAAACACGCAAAACCAGCATCTGAAAGAACCTTTGTGCTTCTGCAAAGGACAAAACTCTCACAAGAAACGGTTCCAAGCCAATTGGCCGAAGCATCCGTTTGGCCAATCGCCCGCCCCTTCCACTGAAACAGGGCAATCTCGCAACACCTTCCGCAATGTGTAAGCTCTTGAACGTAGACCAAAAGTAAGGAAATGTGCGCGCACCTTGATGTTCTCAGGTTCGCTCATGAAGAGTATGGGGACACACCAACCTGGCCAGAGCCAAGCAGCACTCAGCAACAGGTGCCTGCTGCATCTGCTTGTGCCTTGGGGTAGTCGTTAGGCCGACCACCGCCAAAAGCCACCGATGCTGCTTTGACAATTTGCTGAATAAAGTCCGAGTCCTGCAGAGGGCCAGGCCAACAGCAAATCCCTTTCTCGTGGAACACGACAGCTTCATTACTTTGACAATCTTGCATTTGCAGGCAGCACGTCTCCATGACTGTCGCCTCCCAAATCTTTGCTCCCACTCGTCCCGCCCTTGAAAACTCGAAAACTCGAGCTGAAAGCTTGGGACGGGTGCCAAGCCAAGGTTGGCGTGGGCCGAGTCTTGTGAGGAAAGCGGCCTTTTGATCCGGTTACGCTTTGGCGTTCAGCCGCAGACGAGCCATGTCAAGATTCGAGACTCTGCACTGTGCTGACAAAGCATCACGTTTTACGGGGGTGTGTAGGTTCTGTCTGTGGCATTGCATGCCCGTGCAGCACGCGCTGACCACTCGACCACTCCATGCAAGCAACAGGAGCCAACTTTGCATCATCCCTCGTTACACACAACCAAAAACGACCTTCGTGAAGCTGCTTTCGTCATGGGGGGCAAGACATGATCAAGTCGGGTAGCCAAACCAGCCAACCGAGCAAGGCTGACAACAGAAAGCAGAAGAGAGGCAACGACATACCCATCAGTTGCGAGGAGTGTGTACTGCTACGTCACACTTGTCCAGCACTTTTCCGGAAACCGTCCGTTCAGTTTCGACAGGAAGTACATAGTTTCTTCGGGCTCGTAGGAAAACAAGCTCACCTTTGCTTTGCTGGGCTTTTTGTTGCGTCCTGCTTCGGTCAATGCAGCCTACTACTTGAAAGGACGAGGTGATGCAACCATGATTGCAACATGCTTCTCTTGCCACAACACCAAAAAAAACCTGCCACGACAGCAGGGCGCAGCACCTACAGTGATAAGGAAATGCACATTCCTTTTTGCTCGGCCTTTTTGCTCGCTCGCTAAAACTATAAACGCTTGAAGTTCCCCCCTCCCCCCGTAACAAGTTCTTCCTCTCTGAGGGCTCTTTGCAGGCCCCAGAGCCTACAGAGCGGAAGAACTTGTCCACCCCCCCCCCCCCCCGCCGCCGTGAACAAGCTCTTCCGCTCTGAGGGCTCTTTGCAGCCCCAGAGTTCTCAGAGCGGAAGAACTTGTCCACCCCCTCCCCCCCCCCCCCCCTTGTGAACAAGTTCTTCCGTCCTGAGGCTCTTTGCAGGCCCCAGAGCCTGGAGAGCGGAAGAACTTGTCACCCCCCCAGGGCTCTTTGCAGGCCCCAGAGCCTGGAGAGCGGAAGACTTGTCACGCCCCCCCCACCCCCCCCCCCTTGTGAACAAGTTCTTCTGTCCTGAGGGCTCTTTGCAGGCCCCAAAGCCTGGAGAGCGAAGAACTTGTCACGCCCCCCCCCGCCCTTGTGAACAAGTTCTTCCGTCCTGAGGGCTCTTTGCAGGCCCCAGAGCCTGGAGAGCGGAAGAACTTGTCACCCCCCCCAGACCTCTTTGCAGGCCCCAGAGCCTGGAGAGCGGAAGAACTTGTCACGCCCCCCCCCCCCCCCCCTTGTGAACAAGTTCTTCTGTCCTGAGGGCTCTTTGCAGGCCCCAAAGCCTGGAGAGCGGAAGAACTTGTCACCCCCCCCCCCCCCGCCCTTGTGAACAAGTTCTTCCGTCCTGAGGGCTCTTTGCAGGCCCCAGAGCCTGGAGAGCGGGAAGAACGTGCCCCCCCCCACCCCCCCCTTGTGAACAAGTTCTTCCGTCCTGAGGGCTCTTTGCAGGCCCTTGTGAACAAGTTCTTCCGCTCTGAGGGCTCTTTGCAAGCCCCAGAGACTGGAAGAACTTGTCCACGCCCCCCGCCCCCCTGTGAACAAGTTCTTCCGCGCTGAGGGCTCTTCGCAGGCCCCAGAGCCTGGAGAGCCACTACCAAATCGAGCCAATTCCACTCCACAGCCAGAGAGCAGACAGCAACAAGCAGACAGACCCAGAAAATGTTTCATGGTATTCACGAGGAATGCTTTTCAATCTTAGTTTTTTGGGATTAGTTGTGGTTGGACCCCCCTGTGTACTTGAAAGGAGCGAATCGCCACAACGATGCCCTCTCAAAACGGTCCTTCACGCCCTGGAGCGCCTGCAACTGTGCACGCAAGCTTCCGCTGCGGCTCAAGAAGTTTTTCAGCCAAGCCAGCGTGCCTGCATCCGGACAGATGAGCTATCCAAAAAAAGGTGCCGAGCATTCTTTGCCATCCTCCGGGTGTGGGGTTGTTAGGTTTTTAATGACCACACAGCCCCAGTGCACAGCTTTTGGATAGCGAAGGCGTGCCTCCTGTTTCCCCCTCCCTCTCCCTCTCCCCTCCCCATCTTCTCCCTTTACACCAAACAGCTTCAGTTGCTGAGTCGATTTAGATATTCATCTACCCAGATCTCTGTCAGCAAAAGTCGCAAGGGGTCTTCTACTCAGAGCATGCACGGGGTGGGCCCGCAGGGCTTCAAGGCCTGCGTTTTCCGGCGAGTATGCCTCAGCAGCAATCTGAACTCAGGCCCCTTCTGCTAGCCATTCAAGATGCCAAGCCTGAAAAGCAAAGCACGCCGATCATTGAGATGCTTTTGAAACTTGAGATGAGGAGCCGTTTTCTGCACACCTTCGAGTTCCTTCACAGTGTCGGCGATGCGCTGCTCATCTTCCGCCAACTTCACATCCAGCTTTAGCAACCTCCGCCATGAGCTCACGAGGCGACATCTAGCGAGACCGCCAACGAGCAACCACTGCCGTATAACGGCTGCCAAGCGGCGCATCGACGGAGCAGCCTTCTTCAATGCAATCAAAAATGGCTGTCATGCATCCCTCGTCGCATTCCAGAACTGGTGGAGGGGGTGGCTGCACCTCATCCAAAAAAAAACAAGTCATCTCATGCAGGCTCTAGGCTATCTAGGCCCCTCCCCTCGCCCTGTGGCTCCAGGCATCCGTGTCGGCAATCTCGGCACCAACGTTGGCTTTTCCGGACTCGTAGGCTCGGCGGGCAATCCTGCACACTGTATTGCTGTATTACTGTATCATTATATGACTGAATTATGACTGATGCTATGACATTATGATGCGATTCTGTGATTATATCATTATATGATTATATGATGATATATGATGATATATGACGATACATGACGATACATGACGATATATGATGATATATGATGATATATGATGATATATGATGATATATGATGATATATGATGATATATGTTGATATATGATGATATGTGATGATATGTGATGATATTTGATGATCTATGATGATCTATGATGATCTATGATGATCTATGATGGTCCATGATGATCTATGATGATCTATGATGATCTATGATGATCTATGATGATCTATGATGATCTATGATGATCTATGATGATCTATGATGATCTATGATGATCTATGATGATCTATGATGATCTATGATGATCTTTGATGATCTTTGATGATCTTTGATGATATTTGATGATCTTTGATGATCTTTGATGATATTTGATGATATTTGATGATATTTGATGATATATGATGATATATGACTATATATGATTACGTATGCTTATATATGATTATATATGATTTTGTATGATTGTATATGATTATATTGTTCATTTTGTTTCATGGTTATAGTGTTGTATTCTTATCCAAAACATGACGACAGTCTCACGAGGGACGGCGCTGGCAAGTGCAAAGCTTTTCATCACAGCTTGAGAGCAGCGCGGGATAGAATACTTAAGGCTCCCCCAACCTACCGCCCGGCCAAGCAAGACTTAAATCCCAGAAATCAGGAGCAAGGCCCCAAGAGGGAAGAGCAAGAACCCGCGCAAAGCTCCAGGATTTATCTCGGGGAATGGCCCCAAAAACTGTCATGTATTGATCATGTGCAAGAATGGAAACTTCTGGCCAGCTTTCCCTGGCGTTCCACTCCTTGACGCTGCTGGAGCGCTGAAGGCCGCGGATGTAAGATGCCAAGCGCCTTCTGACAGCGCAGCAACTGTCGCTGCTGAAGTTTGGGACCCACGTTGTGCATGCAAGGCCTGATGCGAGGGCGAGGAAGCAAAGTGCACGCATGCATCGGCGCAAGGTTGCCATTGTACCTCACAAGGCTGTTCATTCGTCTGTTACCGAGGCTGCAGTACAGCAAGTTGCCCGCATTCTGACTCAGATTTCACCTTTTTATCTGCTCAAGAACAGCAACGTGCGCTTAACACATGTTTCCCCCTCAGCTGGCCTGCAGAGTGACAAAGCAACCGTGGGAGGGGCAAAGATTGTCTGAACAGCGGTGCTGCTTGGTTCAACAGAACGGGCAAGAATTGAAATGTTTGGAATTATAGTTATTATAGTTATTATAGTTATTATAGTTATGAGAGTTATTATAGTTATTATAGTTATTATAGTTATTATAGTTATTATAGTTATTCTAGTTATTATAGTTATTATAGTTATTATAGTTACTATAGTTATTATAGTTATTATAGTCATTATAGATATTATAGTTATTATAGTTATTATAGTTCTTATAGTTCTTATAGTTCTTATAGTTCTTATAGTTCTTATAGTTCTTATAGTTCTTATAGTTCTTATAGTTCTTATAGTTCTTATAGTTATTCTAGTTATTCTAGTTATTATAGTTGTTGTAGTTATTATAGTTATTTTAGTTATTATAGTAATTATTGCAAATATATTAATTTAGTTATTATAGTTATTATAGCTACTATAGCTATTATAATCATTATAGTCATTATAGTCATTATAGTTATTGTAGTTATTATAGTCATTATAGTCATTATAGTTATTATAGTTACTATAGCTATTATGGTAATTATAGTTATTATAGTTATTCTAGTTATTATTGTTATTCTAGTTATTATAGTTATTCTAGTTATTATAGTTATTCTAGTTATTGTAGTTATTCTAGTTATTATAGTGCTGGTCTGCCATTCACTTCCCGCATCAGCAGCAAGCTAGATTCAGGAGCAAGCCACCTTTTTCTTGTCCCAGCTCTCAACGCTCCGTTGACCAGTCACTTCGTGACGGCATGCAGCAAAACAGCAGGAAATGTGGTTCTCCCTCACGGTGCCGAGTTCGGTCATGATCTTGGAGAACATCTTCTACGATTCTACGCCTCAGTTGAGTTTTTGACTTTGCAAACTTGCAGGCTCATCATGTGTAGCAAGACTACAAAACCACCAAGTTTTCAATCTGAGGGCCGGGCAGAGCCGCCAATGTCGGGTATTGTTTCCAAAGCTTCTTCTTCGCCGCTGTCCTTCTGCGATCTCTGCGCCCCCTTGGCCTGTAAACAAGCACACGCCATCAAAAACCCTAAGCCCTAAACTCCAAACCCTAAACCCTAAACCGTAAACCCCAAACCCTAAACCCTAAACGCTGAACCCGAACCCGAAACCCGAAACCCAGCTATCTGCAGCCATCTGAAGCTATCTTAGGTCTGACTTAGGTCTGACAGACAGGGCCCCGCCGTTTGCTTTGGCAGCTGCGGCGCTTGTGGGGAAGCTGCGTCCGCCCTCCTAGTCGGGAGAAGCCAAAGCAACTGCCAAAGTTTGGAATGTTCTAACAGTCCTCAATAGGGACAATAATAGGGGTAGGTACGATAATCCCTACTAAGGACTGTTATTATTTGGGGGAACATCCCAAGTAAAAGGGGAGACTGCAAGCAGTTTCTGGTTCGGGGACGTTTTCTCCCCTCGCATCCCTCCTGAGCCACAACTTGCGGATCTCATCCAACGAGACAATGAGGAACCTGAGAGCACAGGGTTTAGGGTTTTGGGTTTTAGGGATGTGCGCCCACTTTCCGGACAGCTTTCTGATGCGGGCGCGCGCAAGAGTTCTGCCAGAAGGCAAGGCCAACTTTCCCATGACCAGCTGCTGCCGTGTGAGCGCTTTCATGCCGAAGGCATGCCTGAGACGGACCGAAAACAGGCAACTGCATGGGCCTGCAAGTGGCCAGCTTGCTTTCCACCCAAGTGTGCAGCTGAAAGGCTGCAGGCTTGGAATGTAAATCACTGCGGCAGAACAGCAGAATTCCAATACCTGTCAGAATTGGTGTCACATCTGGAGACCACTGCAAAAGAAAAACACAACCCCTCGTATGGCAACAGCGAGCAATCCCGAGTCTTTGGCGATGAAGAAATTGAGCCAGTTGTTGGGAATGCCATAGGTCACCTCTGCTCATTGCTAGCCCGTTGACTTCTGTCACCCTCTTTGTGCCATCAAAAGATTACATCTTGCAGATGTAGGTCCTGATCCTGCAAACCCAGCGGCTAAAGACGTGGACGTCGTAGTTGCAGCCTGGAGCTGAAGTTGAACAGGGTGAGAATCACTTGGAGAGCAGTTCCGGTGTTGTGCTCGAAGGTTTGTCTCGAATGAGTGGCAATGGTGGCTGGTGAGAGCCGATTTGTTGCTGGTTCACATTGGCTGCAAGGCATTAATGGGGGTTAGTTCGAGACAACACCGTTGAAGGGAACAACGCACTGCACAGCGAGTCCTCGAATGCAACGTAGCACAGATCACCCCTATCACTGCCCCCTTCCCAGCGTGCGCCCGACCAGCGGAATGCTTACGGGCGGGGGCAATCGGGGCGAAAGTTCTTGCAGAGATTGGTTGTGTTTCCATGGGTCAGCAGCCAGTAGCAGGTTCCTGGATTTTATCGCCCTCGTTTACCGCTGGCCGGCTCTTACAAAGGAATCGATTTTTGATGTGTCTGTGCTAGGTTCACTGCGACGTCATTGAGCTTTCGGTTTCAATTACGCAGACCTACAAGGAAGTGCTTCGCCCTCAGTGCAGGCACACTGCCACATAGCAGGAAATGTGCTGTCAATGCTTTCCAAGAGGCGAAAGCCGCGCCCACTTGTCCGCACACGAGTGCCTCTGGATTGGCGAGAAGCTTGGGCAATACTCCGAGTCGGTATGTGTCTACCATACGCCTGCCTGAACTTCGAAACGCTAGGTCTACTGAAGGCTCTAACAGACAAGGCACCCAGTAGTACATTGTTGTACCGGCTTGAATGGCCACCTTCTCCCGTGCCGAGTAGACCACTGGGATCTCTGTCTTGCTGAACAGTTTCCACATATCGGGCATACAGAAGAAGCTGACCCAGCAACAGAAAGATTGGATAACACCAATGAAAGCAAAGGAATACAATAGCATGCCTCTGTTCACAATTGCATCCTTTCTCGGATGCCGTGGCTTCCTGTGCATTAGTGATGCTTCGGGCGGCTGCGCCGCGTAGGCAATGGCAGTCCAAATGTCTGTGCCGATGTCGATAAGAATAACCTGAACGGTTGTCAAGGCAAGTGGTATCCCGAGGAGCTGTGCAAATGTTGGCAGTGCCTGGGGCACCTTGGAACACATCGTATACAGAATGGACTTGCGCAGGTTCTCCGCACAAAGGCGGCCCTGCTCCATGCCGGCGGCGACGCTCCGCAGATCATCATCAAGCAAGACAATGTCAGCTGCCTCTTTGGCCACCTCCGTGCCCCTGATTCCCATGGCAATGCCAACTTCTGCCTCCTTTAAGGCAGGAGCATCATTCACACCATCACCGGTCATGGCCACAATCTGGCCGGCAAACAGCTGATAGGCCTGTACGATAGCTTGTTTGTTCAGCGGGGACACCCGGGCAAACACGCGTGTGTGCTTCACACACATCTGCCAGAACTCTGCACAATGTGGGGCCAATTCAGCATCTATGGCCACTTCTTGGAGAGTTCTTCCATCGGGGGGCACTCCTTGATTCTCAATCATGGCTCCAGTAACTGCCCGAAATTCCTTGCCGTCAGAGTCCTCCTCATCAGTGAATATTCCGATTCGACGAGCAATGGCAAGCGCGGTGCTTGGGTGATCACCCGTGACCATGACCGTTTGGCATCCTGCTTCTCCCATATTCGATATGGACTCTGGTACGCCGGGCTTGGGCGGATCTTCGATCGCAAAAACGCCAAGCAGCGTGTAATCGGACAATGGGAAGTTCACATCCTCCGGACCGGAGCCCTTGAATTCAAAGTTTGTCGGAGCTGCAAAGTCATACTCTGCAACACAAAGCACCCGCTTGCCCAAGGCCATGTAGCTTTCATAGCAGCTTGTGACAGCCTCCACCTGCTGCTGTGACAGCTTGCAGCAGCCCACCACGAATTCTGGAGCCCCTTTGAGGAGGAGCCTTACAGATGCCTGTCCGCTCGATTCGCTCAGGCTGCTGGGCTGCTGTGGTGAATTGTGTGCTGTTAGCATCCACTTGGTGGCGCTGCTGAAAGGTATCTCATAAATCTGCGGCGCAGCTCCGCGCACTTCCTGCAAGGACTTTCCTCCAATTGTGCGGCACGCAGAAACAATGGCGACTTCGGTCGGCGAGCCCACAAAATGCAGCTCCGTGCTTTCTTGGGCGCTCGAATTTAGAAGGCCACCTTGCGCAAGCTTACTGAGTGTACCATTCGTTTCACCGGCCTGCTGCGCCTCTTGCAAAGACATGCTTCTCAGACTTCCAGCTTCCATTATAGCCAGGTCTGTGACGGTCATCTTGCCCGAGGTGAGGGTGCCAGTCTTGTCGCTGCAAAGAACACTCACGCAACCAAGAGTTTCAATGGCATCTATCTTTCTGACGAGCACTTGCCTCTTGGCCATTTGTCGAGAGGAGATCATCAGGGAAAACGTCACCGTTGGCATGAGGCCTTCTGGAACAAAAGTGAAAAACGCAGTTGACGAATTGAGCAAAACCTTCTCCATGCTTAGCTTCTGCGGCGAAAGCAGATTTGCGACCAAAGACAACAGCCCAGTACAAGTGGCAGTGATGGCGATCATGTGCACAAAGTGTTCAATTTGAACTTCCAATGATGATCGAGGTCGTGCATGCTGGACTCCTTGTGCAATCTTTCCAAGCAGAGTGTCGTCGCCGGTTGCGAAGACAACGCCCACCAGCTTACCTTCGACCACACTTGTCCCCGAGAAAAGAACGTTGTTGGATTCCAGCAGAATGGGGGCCTGCTTTCCACTATCAACGGGGACTGGCTCTTGGCGTCGCGGCTCTGCAACGGACTCGCCGGTAAGCGCAGAGTTGTCCACGAGGACCGTGTCCGTCATGCTGAGGATGCGCACGTCTGCGGGGACGCGCTGGCCAGCCTCCATGCACAAGACATCGCCGGGCAGCAAGTTGTCCGCCTCGATTTTGAGAAGAAGGCCGTCCCTACAAACCTCTATCGGATCTCCTGACTGCATCTTCTGCAAGGAGCTCATCATGGACTCTGCTTGCTGCTCAGTCCACCACTGCAAAAGCCCTGCCATGGTGATCACTGTCGCGAGAATCCCAGGTGTTACAAGATCGGCCTCATCTGCTCCCATGAATGAAGCCAAGGCAACTTCAACTGTAACGCAGAACCAAAGAAGAGAATTGAATACTCCACCGAACACTTGGCGCATCAACAGCCACAAGCAGTGGGGCTTGATTGGCGGCGTCATCCTGTTCAACCCGAACTTCTCCAAAAGATCGGGAACTGAGCTTGCCGATAGGCCGAATTGCCCTGGCAAATTATTCAAGGTCAGGCCTGAGAGTGAGGTTTTCAATAGTCCCTCGAGCTCTTGGGAAGTCATGGTGTGTACTAGAGAGGTCGCATTCGACGCACGGGAAGAATTGCCGGCTTCTGTCACGTGGGAAGCTGCTGCCCTTTGATCCCAGCGCTCCCGAATCCAGACAAATGCCACGCAAGACACAATGAGCACACAAATCAGAGCTCCAACGATCTGTCCCCAAACATAAATCGGTCCATCGTCTGGATGCTTAAGCTTCTGCGAGACGTCGTTCACAACCTCCTCCTTGGTGTCCACGATTTGGGTTTCTGCGTCTTTCTGTATCTTCTTGACTTCTTTGTCAAGGCCATCCGGGCCATTCGGCTCGGGCGGGTCATCCGTTACGAGCTGCCCAATGCCAAGTCCACCAAGCCCTTGCTGGTGCGCGGCGTGGCTGCCGTCTGTAGCCAGGTGCCGCCGAAGCAGCGCCAAGTTCCGAGCTCGATGCCGGAGCGATGTCTGAGATGTCTGAATCTGAAGTTCTCGGGAGTCCAGGTCAGCACGGCCCAGGGCTGAGACGACCGTGACGAAAAGTAGGCCGACACAGGCCATGCCAAAACTGCCTGGCATTGACGACTGCAGTGACCCACGTCTGGACCCAAACACGCAGGAGAACAATGGCAAAAATATGGAAAGCGCAAAGAGCTCTGGTTGTTGAGCTGCGCTGGAGGCCTACAAGACTAAGAACCTAAGAACGTGACACCATTGGTGCCATCCTTGAACCGGTATGTTCGATCACTCTACTTCTGTACTGGTATCTGGCACATGCGGTAGTCATGTCAGCTCTCACACATGCACAAAGTGACCCAAGCCATCGGTACAGTGTGCGTGCAAACCTGCACCGCTGACTATTTTCAGCCACTTGCCCCGCCAGCCCCACTTGCACTGGTCTGGAAGCGGAAGCCGATATGTGCCACTTGCGTTACTTGACCCACTTGCCCGCGCTCTGCTTCCCTTCCCACTTTTCGTCAACAGCACGGTCGTGGAACCTGTCGGATGTGAGGAGGCAAAAAAAAGAACATGTTGGAGGTGCCTCATATGATAATCCAATTTGAGGCAGACTTGTTGCTAATCCAGGACATGCTCGCTGGGGTTGCCCCCCTCTTGACTCAAGCCCGTGTGCCACTGAGCCTCGCTTCTGCCTGGCCCACAGCCTGCTCGCAAGTCTGACTCAAACTAGGCTGATTGGCAGACTCGTGACTGCTTTGACCGGCCCCTCAAGTGGCTCCGGAGGCAAGTGGGGCAATGAACGTCAGTGGTTGCCGTGGGTGCTTGCAATGTATTGGTAGGATAGTAGCACAGAACGGGAGAGACGTCTTTTTGGATTAAGGCTTGACAGCGCAACGAGGGACTCCAGAGAGAGGGTAATTTTGCCTCCCCTAACCTTGAAGAAGAGGGTTGAATCAGTCTTAAGCATAGTGAGCAGGAATGAGGGGCGCAGTCAATCAAGGCACTACCAACTCACCAGTGCAAGATGCAAACGTTCTTTGTTCCCTCTTCATTTCGGATTCTTCGAGAGTTCAAGCGGACGAGCGCTGTTCTTCAGCACTTGCCAACCTGAAGGAAGCCTTGCGCACGGCCATCTTTCGACAATGGTAATGCCAGCGCCGCATCAGCTACGCCGCACATCTTTGCATGCGAGTTTGCGACAAAGCCGCAGTTGTAAACACCTGAATGGTTCGTTCGGTCCCAGTTCTCTGCGCCAAGACTCCATACAACTTTCTGGATGCTCATTCTGAAAGGCAGTATTCTGGCACACTCTTTGTCCCTCATCCGTGAGGTGAGGATGAAGGCTCTTCCAAAGCTGCTTCAGCAGCACCGATCAGCTTGGAGGTCTCAGAGCGGTCAATCGCAGGAGGATCCTGGCAAAGCCCGAAAATGGCATAGTACAATCGTATAATAGTACAATAGTATAGTAGTATAATAGTATAAAAGTATCATAGTATAATAGTTAGCATAGTATCATAATAGCATAATCGTATACTAATGTAAGGGTATAATCGTACAATAGTAGATTAGTATACTAGTACATGGCATGAAGCAATGATGGGCATGGCCCCCCGGGCCTCACGCGCCTCGCTGCGTTCACTGGCGGCACCCGCTTTGATGATGTCCCCCTGCCACTGATGAAACACATCAGTGTCTCTTTGAAGTGACACTAATGTGTCGATTGGGATGTTCCCCCTTATACTAACAGCTCCTTCATAGGGATTCTAATGGGGGGGTACTGTAATCCCAAATAAGGAGTGTTAGTATACTCGGGACCATCCCAATATGGCGACACAAAGTGGCATGCCTGAGCTTCTGGGTCTTCCGGCACCTCAACTCGACCTCAGGAACAATGGCTGGTGTCGGAAGTCGGAACCCTTGCTCCCACTCGGTGTGCGGTTGAAGGTCTTCCGCAATCTGCAGCTTCGATGTCCGGTTCCCCCAGCGCAGCAGCACCCCAAGGAAGGATGTGGGCGCTTCCCACACCCATCTCCTGCCGCAAGCGATGTTCCCATGAACATCTTCGCTAGTGCAAACTACTCGCTGGCCATGTCTTGCCATAACCAGTACCTTCGACTCTTTGAAAGTTTTGCAAATAAGTCATGCAACACAACCCAAAAAAATGTGTTCAGCATGAGCCTCTTCTGCTGGGGTTTCGCCGCCCCAAGGCAGCACCATCTCTTGTGGACCTGCTCCGTTCGCGTTCGCTACACACAATTAACAGCCACCCCGCCCCATGCGAACGCACACCACAAACACAACACATTTTCTCTCACACACACACACACACTCCCTCCCTCTCACACGCACACACTCACACACAATCTACATGGAGGGGTACGCAGTATACCTACTGAAAAAAGCCTGAAACAACAAGAGAATCTTCAAAGGCGCAATCGCGAAAAGATTGACAAGGACGGTCTTTGCCACGTCGCCCGGTAAACGCAACTACATAGAGGCAGAGTGCCCGATGAACCAGTGCAGTAAGACAGTTGCAGTGCCTGCAAGTTTGTGTGGGTCTGATCTGAATGCACAGCAGAAAAACATGCTAAACTGCGCGCCAGAGCTTCTAATTGGCACAAGCAACGCCGCAAAGACCTTCAGTACTTCTGGTCAAACCCTACCGTTTGGCATACAACTGCTGCTTGGTACGACAGCTTCCAGCCTTGCGCATGCAAAACACGGTGAGGAATGATACTGCCCCAAACGGAAACGTTCTACGAAGCCCAGTCTTGGAAGTTTGCAAACATATGAATCACATTGCATTCGAAGACTGCAATTTCAGAAAGTGTTGCGCGTAGGTGGACCAGTGAAAAGGCTCATATCAAATCTCTCAATCCAACTATTCTAGTCAAGCCCAAGTATGTGCATATAGGTCAATGTTGCTTTATTCACATCTCCGGCTTTTGCAATGGGTTTGCTTCGCTGCCTTGTCGTCACAAGTGGAACGGGAATTTCCCAACAGTACCCAGGAATACTACCCCCTTTTCGGCACCTACCGGTGGAAACGAAAGTGGGGTACCTTGTTGGGGCCCTGAGTATCAGGGAATCCGATTCCCTGATAATAAGATCCTATATTGGGGATCCCCTACCCTAAGCCCTAAGCCCTAAGCCCTAAGCCCTAAGCCCTAAGCCCTAAGCCCTAAACCCTAAACCCTAAACCCTAAACCCTAAACCCTAAACCCTAAACCCTAAGCCCTAAACCCTAAACCCCCTGAAAACCCTAACACGTGCCTTCCTTGCGAGGTGAGATCCTGCGCTCCATGGGCTCCGTCGGCTCCGCATCGAACTCCAAGGGCTGGGCGGGCTCCGGCTTCGCCAGCTTCTCGGGCTCCGCAGTGCCCTCCGCCCGTTCCTGGAGTAGGGTTTAGGGGTTCCGGGTTTCGGGTTTAGGGTTTAGGGGTTGAGGGTTGAGGGTTGAGGGTTGGGGGTTGGGGGTTGGGGGTTCAGGGTTCAGGCTTCAGGGTTGAGGGTTCAGGGTTTAGCCCTAAATCGAACTCTCTTAGATTTACCCAAAAAGTGTGTACAAAGTTGCTGCCATCACCAAAAGCTACAAAAAAACAGTATATCGTGCACCTAAGGCCCCCCCCCCACTCCCAAGATCTACCCTCCAGCTTCACACAGATGAAAAACCAATGGCCTGTTGGCAGGAAATCAGCTGCTGGGTTTCGAGGGGCTTTCATCTCGAGCACCGAAGTTCATTGAGGGCATCAGTCGATAGCTGCGCTTCACCCTCTTTCACGTATTATTTCGAGAAATCAAGCTGACCTCTATGTTTGTGAATGAGGTTATCCGCATTGTAAATGTGGGCGAACATGTTAAATTGCAGTGTATGCTTCTATAAGGTCGAAAAGGGAATCGGTGAGGGTTTCCAAGCGAATTGTTATGATTATGAAATGAGTATAACTACTCCCTATGCGACTCCGACCAGCTAATCCCTGGAAGAGGCCCTGAATTGCTGCGCTGTCCTTAAAACTTGGTGTCTGGAGCCACTCGCGTAAGCTTCGGGGCTCTAGAAAATCGATTCTAAGGCCTTTTCTGAGCAAGTTACGCACTTCCAGACCCCAATTTTTAGGGACTGTACAGCCCTTTCGCAGCACAGCAGCCCTAAACAACATCTCTCCGACCAAATGCTCTCGAGCTTCTTCGCTTATCTTTTCGCACCTGATGTGAGTGCAGAGTTCAGTTAGTCCATGCAGGCTCACTTCTTGAACCATTACGTCAGACTTGTGCGGGACTTACTTTTGCTGAGCTTTCGCAAGTTGCTTCCAGAAATTTGGATTTTCCTTACCTCGGCCCAGATTTCGTGCATCGCGACCAAAGCTTACGCGAGGATGTGTTGGATTCCTTACCGGCATCCCGCCTTGCAAACCATAGCTCGTAATTCAGTCCAGGTCCGGCACGGAGATACACTGATACCCAAGGTCTTGGCAGCTGCCGTGCAACAATACGAGTGTATGTCGAAGCCCAAGTGCGTGTATCAGTTCCGACACAAACCCCGAAAGGCCTGCGCAATTCACTAGAGCTCCATAACCCTAAACCCTAAACCCTAAGCCCTAAACCCTAAACCCAAAACCCTAAACCCTAAGCCCTAACCCCTAAACCCTAAACCCTACTGGTTTTTCAAGACGAGTCTCGCTCAGCCCGGCAGGGGGAGCGGAAGGAGTGCTTTTTTCTCTGGACGCATCCTGCTCAGCATCCTGCACCAAGGGCTGACGCCACGGAGTTTGCTTGGAATTGTGAGATTATTATTACTATTATTACTATTATCATCATTATTATTAGTTTTTATTGTTATTATTTGTTACCATTATGATAAGTACTATGATTATTATTATTTGCTTTTTTTTGTTGAGATTGTAAATGTTTGTAGGGTCTCGGCCTGGACAGAACCAGGCAATGCAGCTTTGGGCGGATCTGCTGGAGAAGTTGCGACTGCCTTAGCCCCCAGGTTCCCCCGCACGCGCGACTGCCATCACTCACACTGAGGGCAAAAATTGTTATTCTTACTATTGTTATGATTATTATCTTCATTATTATCTCTATTGCAATTATCTTCATTATTATCTCTGTTACTATTATGATTATTATTTTGGAGTTGGTCCCGCAAAACCTGCTGAAGAGATGCCTTTTCTCGCGGCGTGTCCACTGGCTCCTCGCTCAGCAGATGTTGAGAGACCCCACGGGTAATGTCCTCGCGTCTCAGGGGTTCAATTGGGGGGGGGGGGGGGGGAGGGAGTGTTCCGGACATAATCTCAGTATATCCCAGTACTCCAGTACTCCTTACCATCCTTCTTTAGTGCTTTCTTATGCGGAATCCCAAATCCCGTCCTTTGAGTCGTCATGCTGCGCGCCCACCGAAGCCAGGCTTCCCTTGAACTTCTGTGTTTCAGAAGCCTTTGCCAGCGTCTCCGCGGCAAACATGTAATCCACAGGGAAATCAAGGTAGTCATCGCTCCTTTGCAACATCGATGCGAGTTCTTGCGGCCTTCTGCGCCATCGTGCAACAAAACTCTGCTGTCCCAGTCCCCGGTTCAGAGTACCTGCCTGTGACCATCTTTTACCCTCTTGCAACACAGCTTAGAAAGCATGAATGTCTCTCTGGCAAGGTGCGGAATTTGAAATTACACGGGTCCGAAACCCACACACACACACACACACACACACACACACACACACACACACACACACACACACACACACACACACACACACACACACACACACAGACACACACACCCACCACACATCGCACACACCACACACACCACACACACAACACACACCACACACACCACACACACACCACACACGCCACACACACACACACACACCACACACACTACACCCAACACACACACACACACACACAATAAAAACCACACACACTACACACAACACACACCCAAAACACACACACACACACACACACACACACACACACACACACACACACACACACACACACACACACACACACACACACACACACACACACACACACACACACACACACACACACACACACACACACACACACACACACACACACACACACACACACACACATGGGGGTTTACGAGAATAAGGGACCTAAATATAGACCCCAAACAGTAGGATCCCCATTTTAAAAATGGGACCCCAATGAAGTACCCCTAACTTCGGAAACCTCCCTAAACCCTAAACCCCAAACCCCAAACCCCAAACCGTCCCCAAACCCCAAACCCCAAACCCTAAACCCCAAACCCCAAACCCTAGGGTCTAAACCCAAATTCTGGGGTGGCGGAGTGTCCAGCTGGCATCTGGCACCTTGTGCAGCAGGTGGCGGTCTTGGATCGGTATCCGCTTGAAGCGCATGGTGCAGGGCTGGCCCCGGACGTTCATGACCTCTTGGGATGTTCCCCCCTTAGACGAACAGTCCTTAATAGGGGTTAGAAGGGCCATAATCGGGACTATTATAGGGATTATAATGGGGATTATAAAAAGGATTATAAGAGGGGGGGGGTACTAGAATCCCTATTAAGGACTGTGAGTTCTAAGGGGGGAACATCCCAAAGGACGACCTCGAAGGTGCTGCGCGTGTCCCCTGGAAGTGCAGGCAAAGCCAAGCAGAGGTCGGAGCCCACAATTCCAATTGTGAGTACTGCTGTCCGCTCCCCATCAATAAACCCGTAGCGTTTGCTGCTGTAGCGGGTGGAAACAGCGATGGTGCTGCGGACGGAACGCGCCCGTGATCGGCTGCAACATCGCAGACACGAACGCCGATAGTTATCCGACATGTCTTTCAACTGCCAACCTTCCTTGTGCAACGCCGCTGCATGAATAGTGTCACGCTTCCGCAAAACATCGATATCCAAATAGGTTGAAGAGGGTATGAAGGGAGTTCGTCGTGTACGGGGCTCCATCAGATTGATGATGCTTTTGTTCATGTTCATTTGCAGTTCCAAGTGGTCGATATCGTTCAACTCGCCTCCAAAGGGTCGTTCAAAACCAACGGCGGTTGCATTCAAACACCACAGCGTGAAGACCTGGACAAAAGTGAATATGCATGCCCCTGCTGTTGATGCCGACCACTGAACCATGACAAGTGGAGTCAGGATCCAGTGGAATATCAATAAGGTCAGAGTGGTCTGCGCATAGGGGAAAGGGAAAGGGACCTTGGAATGTTTCATTGCATCCTGGTACCTGTCCATGCCTTTGGCCATTTCCGCCAGCGTCCGACTCAGAAGCGGGGGCGGTGTGATCAGAACCCCGTGGTGCGAGCCATCACTCACATATTGCTGAATCCAGTAGTAGAGCAGTTCAACTCGGCAACTTGAGCTGTCCAGTGTCTCAATGCTTTGATGATCAATGGCCGAAGCATCCAACGTTGGCAGGCCCCAGGTGTGGTGATAGGCCACATCCGTGAGCTCTTGCAGGGCCGACGCGCTCAGCAGGCTAAAGAGCCGCATCACCTTGAAAGCATTTGGGGGTTTCCGAAATTAGGGGGGGGTACCTTGTTGGGGTCCTTATTATGAGGGAATCCTACTATTTGGGGTTGATATTAGGGGTCCCCTATTTTCGTAAACCCCCATTTAAGTTCTACTCTTCTTCAGGTTGTCTTGACAAGAGCTTGCGGCTTTCAGGATTGTCTCTGAGCTCTTTCAAGAGGCGGTGTGGAGCCAATTCTCCACCAACAAGGGATCGGCAGGCGAGCTCCTGCGGTTGTCATACTGCATGCATATGCAGGCACTAGGTCTTGTTCACGAGGGAGGGCTTTCGAAACTGAATCTTCACGCTTTTGCCTTGGCTTTTGTGCTGCTTCCGAGGACCTTGCACAATGCGGTCGCTTCCGAATCTTGCCCCGCCATTTCTTGTCCTGGAGAAGGCCACAAGGCTGCTAGCAGCCTCCAGCCAGGCTGCCATCATCTGATGCGTATCCCCGAGTGCAGACCAGAATCGCGTGTATGCCTCGAACTCAAGACACCACCACACAGACAGCAAGCGTGCGCAACGCATCGCACAGATGCCGCGCATGCTTCTTGCACGCAAGCTGCCTGCGAAGTCCGGAACACGATCACGAAACCAACCTGTTTAGGCGCCATCTGGATCGCGCGCACTTTCGATCTTTCGATTTATGACAATTGCAGTTGAGGGCTTCTGAGGCCGCGGCCAAGAAGTTGAAGCCACTCCAAGCAGCGGAGCCGCCATTTCCCGACAGCATTTCCCATGCAGCGAAGTCCACTGTGCCGTCAAGTGAAAAGAACTTCCTGGACAGCAGAGTCATCTACAACTACTGACTGCTGCTCTCAGTGTGCGCACTGCAATTGATGCCCATCAACACTTGACAGATTCGAAAATGCCAAGCAGCAGCAGCAATGCGGCAAGGGTGCCTTAGAGCGTGGTGTTCCCTGGAGTTTCTTTCTGCTCAGGGATGACGTGCACTACTTCATGCCGTCCGATTGACGTCAGAGGCACATCACGTCCCTTGTTTGTGTTTTTTTCTCCGGATGCTTGCCCGAACGTGCCAGAGCCAGCTAGAACTCAAGGGTCTTGCAGAGGCCAGGCTAGCCACGCTAGGTTGCAACACCTTAAATCGCTTTGAAGGGCAGCTGCTCTCGAGCTTTGTGCCGAGGCCGGCATTCCAAACACGAGGCTTTGTGTCTTGCATTGCGCAGGCAGCTGCAGCAAGCTGATACAACCGGTTCTCTATCTTAAGGTAGGCCTTGCAATGGAACAGACAAGGCCAAGCAATGCCGACAAGCTTCAGGGGGCAGCAACTGTAAATGCAAAGGGGAAGACGCTGCCCCTGAGTCGAAATAGGAATGCGCAATTGTACAGGCCTCGGGGCGTCAAACGACAAGACTCCCCAGCACACTTTGCCAAACTCTGCAAGATATCTCACACCAAGCCGCTGTACTCATACTTTATCATGGCACGCTGAAACTGGCAGCATGGAAAGCTAGGAGTTTTGAGCCGAAACCTTTCGTAGGCGGTAGGAGAGTACAAGTCCAGCATCTGCTCGGGAGTGCGTGATAGCGCTCTCCTTGCACCCTAAGCTGACAAGGCGTCACATTCACCAACGGTTTTGCGGCTGCCTTGATTAGCACAAAAATGGTTCTTCTGTCCGTCAGACTCACGGAAGCCCAGCTGACATGTGGAAACGGGCTTGAGTTGAGCACTAAGCTGTCCGGCGTGCAGCCGTCTCAAAGCGGCTTCATGGCCGGGAACAGGATTACCTCCTTGATGTTGTTCCTGGGCTTCTGCATTACGGTGCGTGGAATCCCTGCTACAAGCCGGTTCAATCACTGCAGCAAGCAACAACACCTTTTGAAGAAGGTTTGTATCAGTGTGGCCGAGGGGCTTGTCCGACAAGAACATGGTCAGGCGATCAACACCACAACCCCAGCCTGAGGAGCAAGTGGACTTTGTACCCCTGCATGTCATATAGGCACTGAGTATTCTTCAGCATTTCGCTGGCCGCGGTTCGAAACATGCGTGCCGCATTTCTGCCAAACCAAGCTCAAGCCTAAGCCTGCCGTCAGACCCTTCATGCCCCAAACTCGGGCCTAAAAGCCTAAATCCACCGAAATCATGGAACAGACGCAGGGGCACGTGGCCCGCCAGATATTGGATTGTTCGGAAAAGGCGAAGCCCAGGCTCCGGAGGAGTTGGTTTGCTTGCTGCGATGCTTTACCGGCTGTGCTGCCACCGCATTGATTGCGACAGGAGAGTGCGCGTGCAAACGGGCACCCCTAACTGATTTCTGCCCTTGACCTAAACCCTAAACCCTCAACCCTAAACCCTGTTTTAAACCCAAAACCCTAAACCCTTTTTGCAACCGGGCTCACTGCCCTAAACCCTAAACCTAAACCCTAACCCTAAACCCTAAACTCTAAACCCTAAACCCTAGACCCTAGACCCTAAACCCTAAACCCTAAACCCTAAACCCTTTCTTTAAAAACCCTAAGCCCTAAGCCCACTTGCCAACTTGCCCCACTTGCCCTGCCTGCCCCACCCTCACTTGATAACTGGCGAATGGAAAGCTGTTTTCCCTTCCCCTAAGCCCCATTTTGTCATACTTTTATGAGACCTACCTGTTTTTATGTTTTGCTGAACAGGAAAAATTTAATTGATGATAGGGAAGGGGGGACGGAAACTTTTGATCTTTTGATGCCTTCTGACTCTCATGATTTAATGGGAAAAGGGGGGATGGAGGAGGGGGAGGGGAACTTCACTCAAAATGTTAATGTTTCTCAGTTGTTTGATGATTTGAGCCTCCTACACCCTCTCAGACCCTCACCACTCCATCCTCAGTGCAGTCGACCAGCTGGCTTCCGGTTGCTATTGACTTGCATGCTATCGGCAATTACAACAGTTGTGAGCAGGGTTTGCCCAGACAGAAACAAACTTTTCTAATAGTTTCAAAGCCAAAGCTTGGGAAGAAATCATGAAAGCTCACGTGGGATTCATGATAGGGCCAAAACATGCTTTAAACAACTCCGGACCGATGGGTGGGCTCTTGTACATCTGGTAGCCACAACACTATGTGAGAGCGGGACTCACAAGTAAGTTATTCAAAAATCGGCGCGCAAACAAACCCATGGCGCACGCTACGGGCCAGGCTTAAACTCAGTTTCTAAACAACAGAAAACTCGAACACTGGCGTCAGCGTGATCTCGGGATCTCTCCTTACAATCTCCAGTTGTGATCTCAGCCCACTCCACCCCTTTGCTCCAACAGTGTCACAACTGATAACAACACACAGAAATTTCCCACATGTTGTCGGGGCGTAATTGCGCCCCTGCCTTGCAAGTTCACTACGCATGGTTCTTGGGTTGACGCCAGAGTGCCAGTGACTTTGTGTTGAGTGGACTTTGGGTGCCCTTCAGTACTCAGAGCTTGTTCCACCCGGGGCCGAACGTCCTGCGGCCTCATGTTTTTAAGGGAATTCTGAGAAGACCCATGTTTAGCGACGTGCAGCCGATGGACCGCCTGCAGGCTCGGGTTTTTGCTGGTGGCAAGACAGCTGTCACTGCTGCTCGGCTCCAAATTGTGCTGACGCTAAGAGTCGGCACACGCCAACACAACAACTGTCTCTTTGCGCGTCGGGAATCAACGGGAACAGAACAACTACGGGAACTGCGGAACAGCGGGAGGGTACCTTATTGGGGAGCTTGTTATAAGGGAATCCTGCTACTTGGGGTGCATTTTACGTTCCCAAATTTCGTAAAGCCCCATATGTGGGCCACTGTGGCCTCCTGTCGGAGGCAAGCCGTGCTCCAAAGCGGTGACGTAGTCGTGGTCCACTCCTTGCGCTTCGTCGTCGCCCTCTTGGGCTGCCTTTGCTTGGCCCAGGAAGCACTGCATCTGCCTTTCTGGATCATTCCTGGACACAAGGCTAAACAAATGCTTTATACGGACAAAGGGCAGTCCTATGACCGATGAGAACACAGGAATCAAAGAAACAGTACAGCATCAGGCACCAAGTCTCAGCTCCGTGTATGCGTTGCAAATTTCCTTCGTGTTGACAAAGAGCTCGAAACGCTCCGTCAAGCCAGTCTTGCTTCTATGCCACTTTGCCAGCGGACTCATCACTTGAGGATGCTCTGTGATAAAAGATGGATTGACCTGAAGCTGATGAACATTGATCCGCCTACGCTTTCATGCCATGGTCTGGCTATTTCATGCTAGTCCGTGGCCGCCTAGTCAGGTGGGATGACTCGAGATGACTTGAAACCCTGTGACATTACGTGCTGCTTCTATTGTGGCATGACCCTTTGCATCTGAGGGGCGATGTTGTCCTCGATGAAATGCCCACAGAGCTTGTCCAAAAGCCTTGCAGCTGACCGTGGCGGTGGACATTCTAGCCCCAGCTTTGTGACCTGGGCGCGCAGCATCAGGACTGCACCAATCAATCTGCACTAGCTTTCTACCCCTCATCAGCCGAAGTGCAAGGTCATCCAGCTGCTTCACCGTGCCCGGGTCATCAAAGTTGCGCCTGAGTGGCAACCCGACGACCGGCGAAAGCTGAGTGGAAGGTACCAACGACTGGGTCCTCTGCGTGTGCGTGTGCATCCAGTATCTCTTGATTACAATCAATGCAATTATCTGCCAGGTAGCCCCAACTTAATGTTGCCCTTCTTCTCAATCTCCTCAACCATGGAGATGCGCGGCCAAGGCGGTGTGAAATCAATTTCCACTGCTGGGCCATCAGGGCCCTCCGGATGATACTCGATCTTGTAGCTGCCCTTGATGTTCAGAACCATGGCACTGAACAGCTCTTCCGTCATGTCCATAAGGTCGTTGTAGTCTGCATATGCCATGTAGAACTCGCATGCTGTAAATTCTGGGTTGTGCGTCAGGTCAATACCCTCATTGCGGAAGTTGCGGCCGATTTCAAAGACGCGGTCCAGCCCTCCAATTACCAACATTTTCAAGTAAAGTTCGGGAGCTACTCGCATGAACAGGTCCAGATTCAATTCGTTGTGATGCGTGATGAACGGCTTTGCCGTCGCACCGCCCGCGATCATGTTCATCATGGGGGTCTCTACTTCCAGGAATCCACGGCTGTCGAGGTAGTGCCGAATGAAGTTGACGATTTTGGATCGGATGTAGAAGGTGCGCCTCACATCTTCGTTGAGCATGAGATCCAAGTACCGCTTTCGATATCTCACTTCCTGGTCCTTCAGCCCTTGGTGGTCTTTTGGGAGCATATGCAAGCACGTCGAGAGGAGCTTTACTGCTTTGGGGAACACTGACAGCTCGCCCTTGTTGGACTTGCCCACGAACCCACGGACACCCATGATGTCACCGCGGTTGATCCTTGGTTGCTCGGGAAAATAGCGGGCCCAAGCCCTTCAATTAACTGCCGCCCCCTACTGCGGCCGAAGATCTTGGCATGCTCCTCTGCAAAATCACCATCTTCATGGTGCTGCGCTTGGCACATCACCTGCACGCGCACGCCATCCGCGAAGAGGTCATAAAAGAGCAGCTTTGCTCCAGATGTCCGCTTGTTCTTGACGCGTCCAGCAATAGATACGATCCTTGGCAGGAAAACCTTGAACTGTTAGGATGTCTCCGTGCAGAGCAGCATGTCCAGGGATTGCAACCCAAGGAGCTCCGATTCCATGTGTACCCCTGACTCAATATCCTTGTACTTTTCCACGAGGTACGGGATGGAGATGGTCACGTTCCACTTATGTGGGTACGGGTCGGCGAGCTTCTTCAATGCTGCGATGCGGTTCTCTCGGTATTTGGTGGGGTCCAAGTCCTTCACATCTAGCAGCTCGGTTTTCGGAGTCCTATGTCCCCGAAACTGAGCCCCCACACATGCCCCGACTCCTCGAGGTTCTCTTCCTGAGGCTTGCCAGAAGACTGACCCTTCGCCTGAGCCATGAATCTCAACAAGGCCCATGAGTCAGAATGAGCCAAGTGATGGAACAGGCTTATTTCGGAGCCATTCGAAGCCTGTCCTGCTCCTGCTTCTCAGCATTCTTCTTGGCCTTCTCCTCGGCGCGGGCCTTCGCTTCTGCTTCCTCATAGCACCCGCAGATTGCAAAGACTGAGCGCTACATACGCACACATCTACATATATAATCATATATACACACATGGGGGCACAGCAAGCCTTCATAAGCCTTTCTGATGGAAGAAAAAACCAAGCGGTCCTTCTTCAGGCGCTTGCGCTCTGCCGCGGGCAGCCTGTCTGCTTTGTCAACATCTGCCATGGCTTCTGTGTCTGCACACGTGCAGACCCTGGCTTGCGAGCCAAAAGGCTGCAAAGGCAGAGCAAAAAGGACTACGCAGACGACATGGGCCCTGACAAAGGCGCAACGTCAGGAACAAGACGGAGGATGCCGTCAAGACCTAGCGTGTCACATAGACTTCAGCAGCATCAAACCGAGCATGACCGAGCTCTGACTTCTTGGTTCGCAGAGGGGTTCGCAGCATGGCATCCCAAGTATCCCAAGTCCACCCTGCCCTGTGCGCCGCATGTGCTGTGAATTCGCACGGTGTCAACACCCGCAGCTTTCTCACATTCCACCGGCAGCACCGCTCCTTGGCGAACCCCAGGCCGACCCGACGACTGACCCGTGCAGAATCGCTGCCGCAACCTGTGGCCATCTAAGGAAGGGGTCGGGGGTTCCAAATAGCTTGGTTCGTCGCTAGTCACCCACCCTTCCGAGCACATGGCAAGCAGAGACAGTGCAAATGTTGGAAGGTATGCTTGAGTGAACCATGACGATTGGAGGTTATGTGTTCATGGCAGGACCTGCAAACAGCATCACACTCCTACACATCTCATGCTTCTCCGCGCATTGAACCTTTCCTTTTTGTTGTACGCTTCCTAACAAAGCGTCGGGTCATCTGGATTTCGACTGTCCGCCTTCGCGACAAAGGTGGGCTCGCACCGGTCAAGTGAAGCAGCAGGAGGCAGCACATTCTGTGACAGGTGCGTTGGCCTGATTCTGTGTTTTTGCACTGTCAGTTCAGTCAATTCAGTCAATTCTAGCACATGTCGGCCACAAGTCTGCAAAAAAGTCGGGGTCCAAGTTGCTGGTATGTCAGCGAAGACTGTGGCATTGTAGTCTGCAGTGCCGGGCACTTCGGCTAAGTCTTCGCAAGCTTGGCATGGTGGCATAGTGATGTAGACGACCATGAGATGTGCAACGCCTCAGAGGAACGGTGGGACAATTTTTTGAACCCGCGCTGTGCTACGGTGGGACATGAACCATCCATCAACATCCCGCACCACACGTTTGCAACAAGTACGACACGGACTCGGACCCGTCGGACATGACAGCACCTGAACACTGAAAGATGCCCCTTCGCGTACAGTATGCTGGATTACGTTCAGCAGTAAGTTCTGCGACGCTGCTTGCGCTTGAGACTTTTGGCGCTTGTGCCATGCTGCAAACTAGCTTTTGACGATGGTGAGGCTGCGCAATGCTGCGCATGCGCAGGACAACTGTTGCCATCGAGCTGCTGTAGATCGCTCGGCCACATTCTTGTGCTGCGCTCATAATGTTGCTTCCCACCATGGCTTCCAGGATGCATTCAATGTGCTTTAACGCCTTCCACTCATCATGAAGGTTGGACTCCCTGGCCTTTACAGTGTTTCGCACCAGGTCGTAGGAGAGGGTTGCCTGCGACCGACAGGCCTGGTACTTTGAGCAAGTTGTGTTCATGGACATGGAAAGGTCGCAAGCCGAAGCATCGAGCTGTCGCTGCATCAAATTGCAGCTTGTCCTTTGCTCCTCAACTTCTCTGGCTTGGGTATCGCAAGCTGACTCTTGCAAGTGCAGAGCTCCAGTGGTGTTCTGACACAGGAGCCGTCGGATTCGAATGTTCTTCAACCGATCTCGGAACACGTCCAGCATGCGCTGGTGATAAGCCTCGGCACTTTCACCATTCAGTGCTGAGCAAACCGAGGCTTCCGGGATCCGATCCAAAAGCCTCGCAGACTCGCAGGTCGAAGCATCGACCAGTCTGGAAGATTGCAGCGCCGTTCTACAAGCGGACAGTCGGTCTTGCAAAGCGGACTCCTGCTTTCTGCATGCCTTGTGGTTGGCAATCAAGACTGGAATCGCCTGTTGCTCCGAATAGGACTCGTTCAAACCGACTCCCCGCACCTCCTCACACTTGGCAAAAAGACCGCTGAATTCGGCAATCTGAGACTGGATTTGACTATGCTCCGTGATGATCCTGGGCTTCAACTCATTTGAAACCATTGTCATAACATCTGACTTAACTCCATGCAGGAGTTGGGAAGGGATTTGCGATGTGTTTTGGGCCATCGCAAGTAAGGTGGCCTCCAAGCTCCGCAAGTATGGGGCCGACGACCTCGCGCCTGAACCCAGCTTTAGTCTGGCTGTTTGGTTGAGGGAAGCGATCAGTGAAGCCAGTCTCGGGTGCGCGTCACGCTGTGCATCTTGCCGCCAGAGCAGACCGTCACTGGGCCAGACCAAAGCCAGTAAGAAAGAGGCCAGAACTACATTCATGGGCAGCGCCAGGAGCACTCAGGGACTGTGCCGCATAATGCAAGCCAGGATGACATTCAACCTGGCCCTGACTACTCCTGTGGAGCCAAGAACAGAACATGGTCGTTGTGCCACAGCTGGCTCAGATTGTCACACCTCTCCACAAAAGGCTCCCTCAATTGCTCGTGTTGAGTTTTTTTTCAGGCTTTGGCCACACGTGCTGTAGTCTCGCAGTTAGCCCGGCACTTAGCGCCACTTGCTGTGAATCGCCGGCCTAAACACTTCGCAAGAACTTTACAGCATGCGGGCCGCTGACTGTACAGAATCGTGCTTGGGCAACTTTGGCCATGCCACCTCATTGAGCTCATTTGAATGTGGCAACGTGGCAGTGTGCAGCGCATGCAACCGGCCAATTATCTTCAAGCCACCAAAGTCACCAAAGCACATAGAGGAATCAACACCCGAATAGAATCTCAAAGCCCCCGCATTGCTCTTCCGGCTTGCTGGTGGCAAAGCGAAGCTTTACGAAGATCCACAGCCCAAGGCTTCTCCATGCGAAGCGCCTTTGCACTCTGAAACTAGGGTTCAGGGTTTCGGGTTTAGGGTTCAGGGTTTAGGGTTTAGGGTGTAGGGTGTAGGGTTTAGGGTTTAGGGTTTAGGGTTTAGGGTTTAGGGTTTGGGGTTTGGGGTTTAGGGTTTAGGGTTTAGGGTTTAGGGTTTAGGGTTTAGGGTTCAGGGTTCAGGGTTCAGGGTTCAGGGTTCAGGGTCCAGGGTCCAGGGTCCAGGGTCCAGGGTCCAGGGTCCAGGGTCCAGGGTCCAGGGTCCAGGGTCTAGGGTCTAGGGTCTAGGGTCTAGGGTCTAGGGTCTAGGGTCTAGGGTCTAGGGTCTAGGGTCTAGGGTCTAGGGTCTAGGGTAGGGTTTAGGGTTTTAGGGTTTAGGTTTAGGGTTTAGGGTTTAGGGGGTTTAGGGTTTAGGGTTTAGGGTTTAGGGTTTAGGGTTTAGGGTTTAGGGTTTAGGGTTTAGGGTTTAGGGGGTTTAGGGTTTAGGGTTTAGGGTTTAGGGTTTGGGTTTAGGGTTTAGGGTTTAGGGTTTAGGGTTTAGGGTTTAGGGTTTAGGGTTTAGGGTTTAGGGTTTAGGGTTTAGGGTTTAGGGTTTAGGGTTTAGGGTTTAGGACTTGACTGGACTGCAAGGGGCTTTAAGTATCCAAGTGGCTGCTCGTAGCTCCAGCACCGTAACATCTGGGTGCATTTCCTTGCAGGAAGATGCTAGTAGGCCCTTGCATTGCGGCATGAGGCGCGCTTTTTTGCGCTCGCTTCCCTACTTGCATCACAGGGGCTTGGAAGGGCAAAAACAGCTCGTCTTTCGTTGCCTGCTTCCTTTTGATGCTCTCGGGCGAGATGCTAGACAGCAAGGCCTCAGTCTGAAACATCTGAGCCATAATAGAAGCACATGAAAGCAGGCTTTGTTACCCCGAGTTCAAAGGCCAAGTTTCGCAGGACTCAGCACCGACCTCGTCCAGAATGCCCAGAAGGGTTTTTCGCTGCTTGTCGTCTAAAAGGTTTGATACATCCATGATCACCTGTCTTGTTTTGGGCCGTGACGTTGTATGGATTTGCTTCCAAGCTCTTTCAATGGCCCTTCCAGTCAAGTCTGCCAATCGGATGGGCTCCGGAATGTATGAGCCACCGTCCATGTTGCAGCATTTCAACACCACATTCCTAGCAGTTGTGTGCGAAAACCGATGGCCGACAGAGACGTACAAGCGGCGCATGCTGTCTTGAGGCCCCTTCGCTCTGGCAGCTGATGTACGGACAGCGAACCCATAGGTGAAACCGCTTCTACCTACCAGCGGGACGCTGTCTCCCAAGTTTGGCAAGACCTGCTCTTCCACTCTCTGCCCCTGCTCGCTGTCAAAGTCCTCGAAGCAAAGAAGCTTCTTTGCAACTCCAATTGTGCGCAAGTTGTGGACGATGCCAAGGTGAGAAGCTGAACCGCACTGCCGAGGATGAAAGAGGCCAGATCCGTCAACCAAATAAGCGTCAGGTTCCAAGTGAGGCGCACTGCCACGCAAGCGCTGCAGCAGCATTTCGTATGCTGGAATTTCCCGGACAAACAGAAAGCCAGAGGTGTAGGGCAAAGCCATGTCCACATCCACGGAATCTTCGTAGACTAGCTTGAGCTGACGGCCCTGAAACTCACAAACGACTAAGACAGCGGTTGCCCGATTGGTTCCATCCTCGAAGCCGATATCAAGACCACCGATCTTGCTCAGACCATCAATGGCCCAGCCAACATCATCATGTTCCTGCAATTGGGAGCGTAAATTCATCTGCAAGTCTTCCCATTCCTTCAGCTGGCTCTGCTGGATAGGGACGACGCTATCTGCAGAAGTCTTCCGATTGTCTCCTTGCTCCATGTGCGGGTGTATCGGGTGTATCGCCGCGGCCCGAGTTCCTTGCCCAGCATACCAAAGCAAAGATCTGTGACCCAGAATGCCTAGCGACAGCAAATACGACATGTCCATCTCGCATACGCTACCTCACAGCGAGAGGTGCTCTAGGAGGTGCTTGAGCCGTTTTTTGAAGAACCTGCGTTGGGGGAGGCATGCTGAAACCTGCTCAAAGGAGCCCAGGACTACTAGCCGCTACAACGTGCTCAAGGATTTTCCAATTGGGGACTGCTGGCTGCGGGGCAAGTAAGGCGAGTCTTGGGTTCAGAACTCTGCAGTCTTCTGAGCCTTTCTTCTCTGCGCAGCCTTGCCTACGGCAGTATTGGCTGCACTGGCCTCAGGCGTTCCATCAGGGACATCTGTTGGCTTTCCTGCGAGGCGCCAACAACTCTCCCAGGGTCGGCCTCATGCTTTCGTCATATGCATACATGCCATGTCCCCCCAGATTTCCCCCCAGGCACCTGCTCTTTTAAGCTTCCTTGGACCTGGCGGCTGGAAGCCAACTGACCTGAGACTGCACTGAACCAAGCGTTCGTTCCCCAAGACAAGCAAGGCACATCAGGAGTCGAGACGACGCGATGACCGGCGTAGACCCCAAACCAGCAGTCAGCACCCTGCGCCGGAAAGTCATAGCAAACAAATCCCGGAGCCTCTCTTGGCTCATTTCAAGGTTCCAATTCGTGTCACGTGTCATGGTACCCCTCCATCGCTGTTCACTGTTGATGGGTTTACACGGCTCCCCATTCCTCCTCCTTGTGAGGGCTCTAGGGTACGATGCGCGATGGAGGGCGGAGCACGGAACGACAAAGGAATCAGAAGGGATCCGCCGAAAGGGTTTGTTTCTCCAATACCAGGTTTTCAATGCAGCTCTCTGCATCGTCTGTGAACGCTTCGGCGCTCAGCTGGGAGGAAAAGAGAATAGGCGAGACGTTGTCTTGTGTCTGTTGCCGCCGCTCAGACCCAACGTAGCTTTCATTGCCTGTTACCGCCGTAGGTATGAGAGCGTTGGTGTGATGAAGCCAGTGCTCTCTGGGGGGGGGACCTACTCAACGGGCTACGATGACGCAAGGGTTGGCGCTATCAGGTTGATAGCTTATCTGACACATTGGGTCTGTCGAAGGATAGCGCAAGATGTGGCACTCGCCTTGGTTGTCGCATTTTGTGAAATGGAACGAGAAGATACAGAGCACGTTCAACTCGAACCCACGTGTGGTGGCTGTGCTCCCCGCATTGCTCCTGCAGTTTACTTTGGACTTGCACACAGGTAACAAATGCAGGTGCTCTGTTCCTTCCCCTTCCATGCGGTGCCTGACTTTCCGTCATTAACTGAGACTTCGCAGAGGCAAGGGTGATTATAAGTTTGAAGATGAGGAGTGCGGTCCCAGTCACGCCGGCCTCTCCGGCTTCTGGCGTGCCACGACTCGAGAGCGATCTGTTCCCATCCCGAAACTCAATCTAGCAGAGCCTTTTTGAGTACGGCACAGTTCTGCTGAAAAGGACTGTCTAACGGCCCACATTCCCAAAACAAGAACCCCATAGCAGCTGATCCAGGACCCGATCGCAAAAAGACTGCAGAGACATCCCTGAGATAAGTGTTGCGCGAGAGAGGGCTTGGCGAGCGTGTTTCCTGATCAGCCGGAGATGGAAATCATTGCCAGCGCAATTCATGCAATTCCGACTGCGAGGAAGGCAGTAGCAGGGGTCAAGGTTTTTGAAGGCCTTTTTGCTAGCGGTTTTCATTTCTCAAATTCCATGGGTGATTCTTTCAGTTTGGTTTCACTGAGGAGTTCAGGACCGGCTGAGATTCAGTCTGCAGCCTACATTCTTCGACATTTCACGAATCAGCACGTTGACTTTCTGAGAATGTAGACATGTAAGCAAGGCCAGCTAACTTGCCAGGGCTGGTTTTGGGTTTCCGACGTACCAAAGCTAGTATGCAATTGTTCTGTGCTAAATGTGCTATGCGCTGCAGCGCCTGAGTTCTACAGTTCTGCATGTGTGCCATGTCTTCCACATCCTTTAGGGCGCGTCAGGTGGCAACATTCTTGGAATTTCGCAGTGGTCTGGTGCAGAACTCCAGGGTCTGATGGAGTTTCGTAGGCACGCGTCCAAACTTATGATGAATTTAAGCCTCGATAAGCCTCAAGACTTGAGAGTTCTCAAAGCTATGCGCGAGCACCGCATGCGGTGTTAGATGGTCTAATTCAAGGATATCGGGGAGCTCGTCGGTCCTGCTCTGCTGCAGCAGCGCAAGGGAGCGCAAGTTGTCCTCCAGAGGATGCAACGCTCAATGTGCTGATGCAGGCTTGCAGCGTGAACAATGTCTACACAAAGGCACTCAGGCTCGTCGTCGTCGTCATCGTAGTAGTAGTAGCAGTAGCAGTAGCAGTAGCAGTAGCAGTAGCAGTAGTAGTAGTAGTAGTAGTAGTAGTAGTAGTAGTAGTAGTAGTAGTAGTAGTAGTAGTAGTAGTAGTAGTAGCAGCAGTAGCAGTAGCAGTAGCAGTTGCAGTAGTAGTCGCAGTAGTAGTAGTAGTAGTAGTAGTAGTAGTAGTAGTAGTAGTAGTAGTAGTAGTAGTAGTAGTAGTAGTAGTAGTAGTAGTAGTAGTAGTAGTAGTAGTAGTAGTAGTAGTAGTAGTAGTCGTAGTAGTAGTAGCAGTAGCAGTAGCAGTAGCAGTAGCAGTAGCAGTAGCAGTAGCAGTAGTAGCAGTAGCAGTAGTAGTAGTAGTAGTAGTAGTAGTAGTAGTAGTAGTAGTAGTAGTAGTAGTAGTAGTAGTAGTAGTAGTGGTAGTGGTAGTAGTGGTAGTAGTGGTAGTAGTGGTAGTAGTGGTAGTAGTGGTAGTAGTGGTAGTAGTGGTAGTAGTAGTAGTAGTAGTAGTAGTAGTAGTAGTAGTAGTAGTAGTAGTAGTAGTAGTCGTAGTGCTAGCAATCTGATGGTCGTGGTAGGAGGCTTCCGACTGGGGCTCAGTACAGTGCGTCCTTCTCCGGGTGTGCTTCAGGTATTCTCTGCGTATGCGTCTCCTTTTCCTTGGCAAAATGCAGGCTGCGAAAGGCCACCAGGTCCATTTCCATGGTGGAACATGCAGGGGTTCTACGAGAAAGTACTCGTGCGAGCAGAAAGCATTCGACACCCGGCACCCAACAAAGGTGCAGGAGCTCATTCGAGGAGGGCCGACGTTTCATGGTGAGTGGCTGGGTAGGTGTGCTGTGTCCTTTCTACATCTTGGTACCCTTGCCCAGGGCCAAGCATTGCTGTGTGACATGTTGACATGTTGGTATGGCATAGATTGGCATAGTGTGGCTCCCTGGGCTAAGGGAGCCAGTGGGTCTGTGGCAGGTCGGAAAGCTTTGCCCGCTGCTGCATACGAATGATGTTTAAGTGTTGGGGCCACAGCCTCATACTTTGCAGACAATGTTGCGGATAGACTTGCACAAGTTTCGAATCCAAGCTCGATTGCGCGGGGTAGCGCCCGTTACGGCCACAAATCTTACCATGACCCATACCGTTCTAGCAAAGTTGTTGAACAAAGGAGAGACTTAAAAACGCGCCAAGGCACCAGTACCTGAAGCTCCACAACAAGAGATTCTGTCCTTAGCAGTCAAGAGTGTCGAAGGGATCAATTCAGCTTTCTGCATCGAAGTCTCCGATCTTGCAGGCGGCCTGCCCAACCGTCCTCCAAGCACAAGGGCAGTTCAAAATCTCGGACGTCCTTTTAATCCAAGACGTGGTCAGTCCTCCTCCTTTATCCGCTGGTGAAGCAACAGCTGCTCCCTCCGTTGCTGATTCAAAGCGGCCCAGACTGCACCTAGCCAATCCTGAACAGACACCGTGGGCAAGCGCCGAGAATGCAAACAATGAAACCACAAACTTCCCCTTCCGACGCGTGCCTCGGCCTGATCCTTGGCACACCGCAGCCTCGGAATGCACTAGACATAACTGTCGCAAGTGTTCAAGTCTAGGGTGCGGGGGTTTTGGGGGGAGCAGCGTGGAGTCTGACACGGAACACGGAGGTAAAGTGTAAACGTGGCCAACAAATCTAATATCCCTGTCGCGCCCGAGTTGGGTTCAGTGAACCAAAACCCAGCCATTATTTACTAAAACCAACACGAACACAGACCTCAAAAGTCCATGGCCAACAATGGCTACAAGATGCCGCCTGCCTGCAGTTCGAACAAGAACAAGCTAGAACACGCAAAGCATATTCAGCATGTCAACTCCTCTCAAAGGCAGAGGCGCTCTTCAACCCGCAGCGCCAGCCGCTCCAATGAGTTGCGCATCTCGCCGATGACACGTTGGCTGTTTCCTGAGCTGCGCCCTCTAGCAAAAGCCACCATGCACCTCTGGCCCACTTATGTCCCACGAATGTCGCGCGCCGGCAGAAGCTGGCAAACTAGACTGGTGGCGGGCGGCGCTCAATGTCGTCTGCCTGCTCCTCCAAGTCTGCGATTTCGCGCAGCATGTCCTTGCATGATGCTGGATTACGTGCAATCCTTTGCTGCGCTGCTTTGCAGGGCTGACCGTCTTAAGCTCGAAAAGTGCAGCATTGCCGGATGTACATGTCTGCACATGCTCCGTTGACCGGCTCCGGAGGTCCGAGCTGTCTAGCAAGCGAAGTCTAACTCCTCTAGTGGAGATGCAAAGAGTCACGTACTAGAATAGCAGGTGCATTGATCTTGTCTGGGTTAGGACGCTGGGGTCGAGACTCTTCCGCCCTGCGGTCCGTACTGCCTGCTAGTGCAACATCTGGGGGTTTGCGATGATAAGGGACCCCAAATTTACACCCCCCAAAATAGTAGGATCCCCTTAGAATAGGGACCCCAAGAATGTACCCCTAATATCGTAAACCCCCATCCTTTCTTTGCATGACACGGTGCAGCAGCGGACATCCTGCGCTTCTCCAGCTGCATCCTCTCGCCACTTGAGCCACTTTGGAGAGTTTGTTGAGCTTGTGAACTCTGGGGCTCCTTTCGTCAGCAAGCAGCTGCTGCAACTCCGCCATCTCTTTCTGCTTGTGGAGTGACTGCCTCAGCACACTTCCTTAGTCGGAAGACATTCCGGTGCGCTGCAAAAAGCTGCGCAACCCGCCGGGAAGCTTTCTGCCAACAGGGAGGCAGCCTCGGCCCGGAAGTCGGACTTCGGAGCCTGGTCAAGCTTGTGAAAAATGTCAGCTCATCTTTGCCTGCTTTGTCTTAATGTTCCAGGTCTCATAGGGAGCCTCCCTACAAACACAAGACGCACGTATAAGCACATGCGACACGTTCATTGGGAGGGGGGGGGGGGTCCCGCGCCTCTGTAAAGACAACTTGTCGTTGTCCGGGCTGATTTTTTTTATTTTTCTCCCTGCTGCACACCATGGGGCGAATCCACATCGCGTGGATGAATCTAACCACAAGGAAAAGTATGTGCCTACGGTTTCTTATTCATTTCAAACCCGCTCGAAGGCCAGGTGGGGGGAAGAGGGCGTCTCCGCAAAATCCATGATAAATCAGGACCAAAAATCGCCTAAACTCTACTTTGACAATGTTTGACCAACAAGATTGCAAACAAGAACTCCCGCAAGGCTGCCCTTAAAGGGCGCTAGAACAGGACACTCGCCTTCCAGCACATGCAATGTCACTCAACGGGCCAAAAAATGCGGAGAACCTCGACTGGTTCTGCACCACGCGGAGGTCGCATGGCCAAAGCCGGCATACCATGGTCCTTTCAAGCTCATGGCTCATGCTGGTATCCTTGCAGCTGGGGCGCGGTGTCACAGGTCCTTCTCCGTGACCTCTAAGCGATGTGTAAGTTCCCGAACATCCCGCACGCAGTCCTGCCCACATCAGAACGCTGCAACACAGCACAGCACAGAAGCGCAACGGACTCGAAGGCTGAAGGCAATCCCAGACATACACGTTGCAAAGCGGAGGTCAATCCTCCATCGCTTGCCTCACGCCAAGGTGATGAGCCAAAGGTAACAGGTCAACGTGACGAGCCAAAGGCAACCACACGTGAAGGTGAACGAACAGAACCAGGCTTGGGCATCCAGTCATCCAGATGTATCTAGCTGAGAGTCCGCTTCTGTTTCGCCTCCGTTGCCAAGACCTCCTGTTCCACGTGCAAGACTTCAGCCCGGCGCTGCAAATCCCTGCAGCGCGACGCTAGGCCACTTGCAGCACCCATGCCGCCTTACCCAGAGCCGAGCTACGGATTGCCACTGCATGTACTGCATGTACTGCATGTGCGGTCTAGTAGAAGCCCCTGATAGCTCTAGGCAAGCCGCGGGCTATGGATTGCAACTGACGCCGTGCCAAACTCATTCGTGCTTCCTTGGTGCAGAACCAATGGCATATGATCGTTGACCATGCCGCAAGCCAAACCTCTTGTTTTCAAGGCCGTCCTCCCTAACTGCCGCTGCGCATCCATCTTCTCCGTGGCCTTGAGTTGCGCAAGCTCTGCGTCTATTGCCTCGACTCCGAGCCCCCATTCGCTTCCAATCGTCAACACGCAAAACAAAAAGGAAGAGCGATTGCCTTCTGCTTTGCTGATGATGACTCATCCCGCAACTGCGACACTTCTGCCAGCAGTCTGGAAACCTTGGCTCTAGCAGATTGGAGAGAAAAGGTCTTTAGAGAAGTCTACCAAAGTCAGCAATGGCATGAAGTCACCAAATGCTGCGCCAGATGCCTCCCCTCGCAAGGTTGATTCTGTTTGCTGCCTTTGCTGCTGTAGACCGCTGTCGGCATCCTCTTCCTGACTAAACAATGTGTCTTCGTGAACCTTTTGCCCTTTTGCTCTCTGCAACTGGCGAAGAGAATGCAAAGCTCGGAAATCTTGAGATAAGGAGTTCTCCCAGACAGTCAGCTGCTCGTAAAGCTCATCTTCTGTGAAGCCACGCACCTGCAAGGTCCGAGGGTTCGCCATTTAGCGGGGCTTATTGCTTTCCACCCCCTGCCCCCACACCAATTTCTCTCAGCCTCCACCCACCCCTGCACCATCCCTTCCCGAAAAAGCCCCGACAAAGTCCCGAAAAGTCGAAATTGTGCTTCATGCCCTGATTATTCACGGGATGCAGGCTACTTCTGACCATGGCTTTGCAAGCCTCGCAACAAGGCAAAAATCGGCAAAGACACCGCAACCCTTCGACCTTGCTGACGTGAGAACTTCTTACACGCACATTGGCTATTTAATCATTGCTGAGTCATTGCTGCACGCCTTTTGCAATAGTGGCTGCAGCAGCTCGCTGTCCAACACATTTGCTTGATTCTGGACCTCAGGAACGACCATGGAAAATTATGCCCAACGACCTTCTCTGCACATGCAGAGCACGGCCTTCGACCTCGCAAGAGGAGATTGTGTGCCTCGCTTCATGAGCTCAAACTTGTGGAGCAGGCCCGCTAGACTCAGTTGCACAGCACGTTTGATTGCATCAAAGTCACATTTCTGGCGGGGAACCTCAGGCATTTCTCTCCACAGGTATATACAGATGACGGCAGCGACAGCCACAACCACCACGACCACATACAACACCCTCACATGCAACATCGTGGTGTTGGACCACTCAAGTGCGGCTACGTTCGTTGAGCGTGCTAAGCTACAGTGGGCAAGAGGGTAGCAACGACCACACGACAAAACGGATTTGCCTGCCTTCTATCTTGCTTGAGGTCATTCGTGAGCCTCTGTCAATCAGGATCGAGGCCAGGCAGTGCAGTGTGAGTTTGTTTTCCAGGGGCCGGCAAAAGAATGTGCGGATCGCTGAAGGGAGCCGACTCGATGGGAGCTTCTGGTGTCTGATGTCTCTGTTACCCTCGCTCGACCCTCAGCTAGCAAAAGCCGCCCAGCCAGCAGAACAGCCTAGCCAGCTACTCATCACAGTGCTCGTCACGCTACAGATTCGTGGTCAGCGTTCGTCCCAGATTGAGGTCGTGGTCGCGGGCGGCCTCTCATCCTTCGCCATTTTTGCCATCAACACATCCACTGTTGCGGTGCTGTGGTGGCTACTTAGGCTCACAAGACGCTGGTCTTTGTAGGGCAGTTGTCATGCTTGACGATATATGCTTTGCTTGGTTGCCCTCGGCCAGCTTGAGCCAGAGCATCCGGAGGCTATGTTTCTGGGTCACCAAGTTCGGCCAGCTAGTCCAGTCTAAACCGACCTATGCAAAAGCGGCCTCCCGACTTCAGCAGCTCTCCAAGTCTCTCCTGGCTCCCAGCATGCCATTCCGCGCATCAAGGAATTTTCCACACAGCCTTACGAATCTCGAGAGCTGGCCGTATGCGCCGTGAGAAATTCTCGTGAGGCATGGTCAGCAGACGTCATCGTCCACCGCATCATCATCCGTAAAGCTTCCTTCCTCTTCCTCGCACTCTTCCTGTCCTTCACAGAAGCCAGCTTCAGCTGCAATGTCTGATGCCCACAGCTGCATCGCCGCTTCGCGTGCCCTTCTCCATCGGGTCAGAACAGGGGGCTCGCCAGGCGACTGGGCTGGGAGCAATGGCAGCGGGGGAGGTTCATCAAGCTCCTTTTCCTCTCCTGCATCGGTTGTGGCTTCCTGGCCAGCCCCGCCCTCAAACAGAACTTCGCGCACAAAGCTGCGGACAAATGGATCAGTGTCGAGCCAGACCGAGATCTGACCACGCCCACCCATCTGACAGCAGTATCTCAGGGCTTCCAGCAGTTCCATCTCGCAGCTTCCTTCTGCGGGCAAGCCGTGCAAACCGGGCAAATCGCAGCCCAGAGGGAACACAGGCTCGAAGGCCGGCGCAAAGGCAATGTACTCAGCAACGAAGGGATTTTGACGGTGCGCCGCCCGAAGTCGCTCTAAGAGCCGGCCTTCCGCCTTCTTGCCGTCGCGCTTCTTGTGCTCCTGCAACACACGGACAGAGATGTAGCTGAGCAAAGCCAACGAGTAGCGGCCAACTGTGATTGCCTCCCGTTTCGCGCCGGTCGCGCCGGTCGCGCTGGTCGCGCTGCTCTCTCGTTCAGATCCTTCAGGTGCCATTGGCGCCGTCTCGATTTCAAAGAGTGGACCCTTCAGAAGTGATGCCGCCTCCTCCGTCATTGCCCGATCCATGTAAAGAGCCAACAGAGGCGCGCGCACCTTAAAATCGGGATCGTCCGGACACATGTCCAACGCCTCCTGAAGCAACTTGATGGCCGACCGCTGCTGTCCAGCTTCCGTCTGGAAGCCTGCTAACTCCACCAAGATCTGCCGTCGCTCTTCGCCGGGCTTGGCAGCAGGACCTCGGGTCAGTTGCCGCTGAAGCAGCTTGGCACGCAAACGCTGCCGTGTTTCGTGTACCGCCTCCTCCTTGCCATGGGCACGACGCCTCAAAGCACGCGTTTCCTTGGCCTCATGGCGAACCTGTTTCCTCGCACTCTCGCCTTTATCGCCTTTTGCCTGGCCTTTCGACCGACGGACTTTGCAGCCTTTGGCCTTGATGCTGCTGACCGTCTGTACAGGCTTCCCTTTTCTCTTGCCACCTCCGGACTTCTTGCCCATACTGTTTTGCCCTGGCGGCCACTGGTACCCCTTGAATGCGAACAACTTGAACTACAGTATGAAAAGTTATGCTAGCTGCTCTTGCGTGTCCATGCCCTCTGACAGCAGCATCAAAAGGCGGGCGAAGCTAGCGTGGGCTGATGTTGCTCTGGAGGACATGCTACACACATGCAAAAGCCATGGGAGGCATATCTGTAAACTAGTGCAAGGCGTGACTCATGACTCATGTCCACGCTGTCATTGAAAGGCCTGAGGATGCAGCGTGCGGGGTAAGAAATTCCGTAGACATGCCGCGAATCAGACTTTCGAGCGCGTTTTGTCCCATGCATCGTGCTGGTCAGTTTGCTCGGGCATCTTCTCACCATCCTGTCCATGCTGTTTCTCAAACCACCAAAACATCCAATCAGTGGAGATGGTCACGATCTGTTGGTTCCGTCTCCTTAGGCTCGGGTACCATGCAAGTACGCGCCTGTCAGCAGGCTCAGCGCAAGCCCAGCCCGTGGTTTGTCAGATCGCTAGACAAACTATACTCCTTAAGATCTTGGATCTCTATTTCCTGATTGCCTAAAAGGATGATTGTCGATTTGTTCTGCTGGCCTGCGAACAATACCTGACAGATTGTCCTGGTAGGCCCAGAAAGACATCTGGCAACAGAACCTAAAAGCTACAAACACCTGAAGTATTTACAATTGACCTGGCCTATGCTGGAGCGCAAGTCGGTCAAGCCACTGCTCGTGCACCGCTCGCACGACCCCAGGCCACTGGGGCGAGAAATCATGTCCCGCCACGAGGGTCTCTTCTGCGGTACGCAGCTTTGGCATCCAAACTTCGAAGTCTGCTTTGACCTCTGCAAGTTGGCGCATGCTGCAACCCTTTGGGATCTTCAGGGCCACATTAGTATTATGATTATTATTAGTATTCTTATGCTTCACCCCTTCAGGATCTTCAGGGCCAGGCATGGGGGTATGGACAAACATTAACGCTTTGACGTGGCTTGGACTCGGCTTTCCTAGAGCTTCTTCGCTGAGCCCAGGGTGCGCAATCGTAGTAGTGGCAGCCGTCGATGAAGATGGCATCTATGCTCTTGTCAGGAAGTGACAACGCAGCTTCCAGAGAGGTCGCTCGCAGAAGCATCGCCCTCAACACGCAAAGGTCACAAAAACTCAATCAAAAACGGGGTTCGCAAGTGACAAGCAGGCAGGACAAGGTCCGCAAAGAATTCAGCTTACCTCACATGCTTCTACGAAGCCTGCCTGTCTTTGAAGGAGTCATACAACCTGGACGCATAATGGAATGCGACCTCTGGAGGTAAATCCGCCGCGAAGTTACCAGGGAAGGTGCCATCGGCACCCAAATATGGATCGACGCCGATGAGCTCCACGAAATCGCAATGCTCCTCATCAGAATCAGCTCTGGAGATTGTTGTGTGTGCTCTGCCCGGTTGCGTAAAAACAAACTGTCATTCTGAGACAAGTGTCAAGAATAAACTTTGACAGATGCCCCACAAAGACGCCAACTTCGACGACGAGAAGGGTCCCTCCACCCCTTCGCTTGCGCAACTCCTGAGAATGGGGCGTAGCTTGTGCAAATCCACAATTGGAAGCAGTGAGATCGCGCTATGTTTCACAAGAATGTTGCTTTGCCAAGATGCTTGTAGAAGGGCGACGAAAACCGCGAACCCTGATTCAGCATGCATGTCTGAATTCATGCGAGGCACAACATACAGTAGCAAGAAACCCCGAAATCGCAAGCCTGTCTTTAAGCAGAAGGCTGTCAAATGGCACCAGTATGAAGTTAAGGCACTGAGCCCAGTGAAGCGTGTCTCCTCCGGACGGCCAGCAAAGTGAAGAGCTGTCATGCCATGCATAATCAGAGGCAACTAACGACGTACTCTGCTTGCCATGTCTGCACAGATCCTCTGTCAAAGCATACTGCGGCCCAGGAAGAGGCAGCGGCGCATCCGTGTTGCAGTCGGTCGTGCCAAATCGTAGCCACTCATCTGGCTCTCCCCAGGCAGTGTGTACCACTCTGCCGGCCGCAACCGAGTCCGAAAGCCACTGCCACTGCGTCTCACGCCAAATAATGACGGTCCTGACTAACAGGTTCATAGGGTCCTAGGACTCTTCATCCCTGGCTGACGTAGCTATCTCGAGACGAGTGGCGCCCAGTAGTAGGTCTGCTTGGTTGTGAAGCCTTTCACCAGAACTGGTTTCCCGAACAATGTGATCGCCACAAAGACAAACTTACACACACACACACACACACACATGCACACATAGGCGCCACGCACCTATGGATCTGGCCTCCCCCAAGACAAAGAAACAAGCAAAGCAAAGGGCAGTTTCAACACGCGTGTGCGGAAATCCTGTGCTCCGCGGTACGCTGTGATGCCGGTCGCGCCCATGGCCACGGAGCAGATGCTCGCAGCCTCTGCGTCTACCACCCGTGGCAGTAGTCAACTGGCTACGCTGAGCATTTTGTCGGTGAGACAGCAAGTTCAGCGGGATGCGCGGCCGCTTTGGTGGGCTCCCCCCTTGAAAGCAGTTCGCCGATTGGTCAAGAATATGGCCGATGAACTTACCGCGTCTTACCGCCGCAACCTCGCCGTGGAAGACGAGAGGCGGACTTGGCGACAACGGCGAAAGGTTCGCATGCCAAAAAGCTCGCGAGTGATGATGGTCTGCCCCCTTTTCACCTTACATATTCTACCCTGCCCCCCACATATTTGGAGTTGGCTTGGTATTTCGTTTGAAATGTTGTGCAGATGCCCCGCATGTTACGCAATGTCCCAAAAGCGCGGCGCCTCTGCAAGGCCATAGGCAGAGAACCCTCCACAGTGCTCTGCTTCGTGCCAAGGCACATCATGAACGAGGCGACGGTACTCTTCAAGAGGAGGTACAGCTCACGAGCTACCGGTTGCATTGCGCTGCGTGGCGTGGGTCCACTTTTACAGATTCCCCGTCTCTGCATACAGATTCCCCGTCTCTGCAGTGCTGGACCCACGGACTGCTGTGGCCATCTTTGCAAATGGCAGGGCCCGCTACGAGCGTCAGAAGACAACCCACCTCTTTACCCCCCCGCCGCAAAACAAAGTCCGGGGTCGCCTCCGCCCACCACTTTTTGCATTCCCGGACTATCCTTGGAGCTACCCCATGCCTTCGTCAAGGACGGCACCGACCCTCCGCAGGATGTCCAGATGGGCTCAGCTGTCACGAGGTTGCATCCGCTGTCATCCGTTTGGATCAGTTCTTGTTTGACACCAGAGATGGCAGTGCACACATGGGCCCTCTAATTTTGTGCGGCTGTTTCGCGACCTAAGCCTAAGCTCCATCCCGCCCGACAGATTGGAACAGATGACTGTCGGGAGCCTGATCTCTCTGCTCGTACGTGCCACCGCATGCACGGCGATGGTCCACACCCATGCCCACCCGCCCGTCCGCACGCACAAACAGAAGTACAAATTTGCACACGCAAGGCACACTTAAGTTGCCATGTCACGTGCCCCTCTCCATGAAGAAGGTAGTCGGCTTTTCTGGCTGTGGGGAGGTCGACCCAACTCTGCCGCCAAGCCCTGTCAAAACAAAATGTAATAAGAACATCCCTAAGCCGCCCTAAACCCTAAACCCTATCTACAAGGATGTTCGGAAGGAATTTGTCACTGACACCTCTTCCAGCTCCTGTAACGTCGCCATGACGGCGTTATTGGAACCTTGTTGCCATCACGTGACATGTGTGCGGGCATCAGGCAGCCACTTGCGCTCACAAGGCGGTATGACATCAAGCATCATTCAAGCCGAAGCCGCTGTACTGCATCTTCACAGATTGCCAACTGGTCTTCTGCGCGTGATGTGATGCGACGCCGATCGCCGCCTCACTGGAGCAGGGTGACTGCAACCTTCGCCGCGCAAATTCATGGACGGCTCGATGCCACGTGCAGCCCGGCAGCACACAACTCTGGAGCGATGCCCTGGACAACCCGAAGGGAGTCCAAAGGGGTCTACGCAAAGGATTCCAATGGAAACAAAAACCCCTACGTCTTGCGGCCACAGCTCTGGCCGACTACAGGTCCACATTTCATAGAGCGCAATGGAAGTCCAGTCAAGTGCGAGTGAGTAAAGCACCTGCCCATCTGCACGGCTCATTCATTCTGCACACATGGAACCGTCCCTTTGCTTCCAGGCCTGACAACCAATGCGAGTTGACTCTTGAAGGCTTTGAAAACATGCGCCTTCGAAGTCCTGTCAGCAAGGTGTCAGCAATTCTTGTGACACAGGCACTGCACCCATTCCACGCCTGCAGCACGTCTAAGACATCCTGTAAAGACCTGGCAAACCATTTCAGTCGCAAGGGAACCTATCAGAAACGACGGTGACTCGACCGCAGCGCTTAATGCAACCACGTTTCTTTGCTTGGATTTGACTGATGTTCGCCTTCAACATGTCCTGGCAAGCAAGGGGTCCACCTGGCACTCAGTCCAAGCGTAACGCACAACGCTCTCCTTCCCACAAGCACTCACCTGTCCAGCAGTCTCCATGGACTGAAGACTTTCGCAAGCCTCACGCCCGTCATGCATCGGCCCGTGGAGAACTGCCGACTGTCTGCAAACGTCTGCAGGCAAGAGGCCTCTTCCATGCTTCCTGGAAGTCAAGTCTCGACTCAAGCTCCTACAAGGTCCTACAAGCCAACTTGGCCAAATGCCGCAGGTCCTTCTTCGGTGGCAGTGCTCAAGCAAGCAAAAATGATCACCAACACTCCGCATCTCTTCAGTCCTTGGTCCACATATCCACGTGTACCAGCGTGCTCAGCAAGCCCGACATCACTAGCTGTCAAATACGCCAAACATTGCCAAAGGAAGCTTACAAAGTGCTGAAAGCACGCTGCACGGCGCAGATCTCTCGTCAATCATCCCCTTGCAGCCAGGTATCCAAGCTGAAGGTTCTCCTTCATGAAAACCTGGCTCTGGAGTCTCTGGTGCCATGGGCTCGGAAGGTGCACGAAAAAATCGAACTGCAGCTTTGCCGTCGTTTGGCTCGTCTTTCTGCTCTCGTCTGTTGAATACCTTGTGGCTTTACATTACATTTTGGAGAACGAGTGCCCTCTACACATGGCAGGAAAGAGCCAACAAACACACAAGCAAGAAAAGACTCGCGAGGTTTCGCAACATGTCCTGCAGGTCGAACCTTCTGCCTGGCGTGCAGTGCTTTCCCTTTTTCTGACTGCACTGCGCAAACACCACCGCATGCAGTCCAGCATCTACACATTGATTCGGGCTTTGGATGTCTACGGCACGAAGTCTGCCACGGGCTCCAGGTCGAGAAGTTGAGAAGTGCACAGAAGGAACTGTAATGAACTGACAAGACATGGGCCGCGCTGTGCCTCATCTCCTGGTCCGGCACCCAACAGGCGTGCAAATACTTCACAGATACAGCTCATCATGCACAGCCCAGTTGGGCATTTGTAGCCTGCCGCTACTACACATATCTCGCGCTGGAAAAGCCCACTTCTCGCACTATTGGCAGACAGGCTACCAAGTGTGTGCCGCGATGAGGTATTCGCAGCACGAGATAATGTACACTAGTGGTTGTAAAATCTGGCGGGATGCTCTCTGCATTGATCTAGAACACATGCTTTGGTGCAAGGCTATCGCAATCGAAATCATCCCTCCACAAAAACTCGATCTTTAGACTGCTTGCGAAGCTGCTTGGGCCAGTGCGGTGAATCGCCTTGCCTAGGCCCAACAGCTGTGACCTGTAGTAGACACTGTACACCGAAGGCAGTTGCAAGCTCGAGTACGCCTCGGAAAATAGAGACTGAACTCGACCCAATGTTGCTGATCTGCTGCAAAAAAAAAACCTGCTCTTTGTCGGCCAAGCTTCCTGGAACTGTGCACTATGGCCAGCATGTTAACCGCCACTTGTTGGATCTGGCGTGAACTCCTTGAATCCCTGGCACGGTGCATCGGCAAGAGTCACGGGCCAACCAAGTACGAGCACGAGCCCGAGCCTTTTGCAAAGCATTCATGATGTGCATACCATGCTGATTGGACCTCTGACGTGGCATTTCGCAGACATGAGCAGACAACATCGGGTCACCGTGTAAGTTCTGTAAGAACCCGGGAGGCTTGCCGGTAATCAATGGGAAGAGCACTCAGTGTTCTCCAGATGCGCTCTCTCTCGTTGCCACGGCTGTGTTCCATCATGCGCTGAACGACATAGTTGCCGTACCTGCTGCTTAGCAGCTATAGCAGAAGCAGCCAACATGCTTGCTCCATGATGACACTTTGCTTGCAGTAGTACCTATGAGTCATCATCTCGCATAGAGGACCTTGGGGCTGCTTTCGTTTCGCACACTTGAACGGCAAAGGAAGCGCTGCACAGCTTGTAACCCTAAACCCTAAACCCTAAACCCGAAACCCGAAACCCTAAACCCTAAACCCTAAACCCTAAACCCTAGACCCCTCTCAAATGACCAATTTGCATTCTGGCAGCTAGTTGTATCACCGACGCCCAGCACTGCGTCAATCAGCTGAGCCCTCTTCGCCTCGAGCTGGGTCGCATGCTCGCCAATAGTGGCAATCTCGAAGCATTTCTCTACCTGTAGTTCTGGTGTTGCACGTATGTCTGCTTCACCGTTTTCATGTTTGCAGCAGGTATGGAACTATATAATTGCGGGTAGCCGACGACGTTGCCTCAGCTGCCGCAAAACAAACCTACGTGCATTGCGTGACGTTTCAAGCTTTGGGCGCATGTCAGACCCTTGAAAGCTGTGGCCACTGCTCGAATGTTTGTCCATGGAAAACCCAATGATATTTCTCTTGACGATGTCGATGATTGCCTCTTTGTCTTGCAGCCGTCCATGTTCCAGCATGTGCTGCACCTGTGCACTCTTCGAAGGGCGCAGAACTAAAAGCCGTTTGCACTCAGGATGCGCTCAGGTCTAAAAGGCCCAGGAGCCACATAGTTGCCAAACCTCAGTGATGAATGGAAACTGTGGGGTTGATGAATGGATTGGTCGGGAGGTGAAAAAGTCTAGTCTAGAGGAGCGAACTGCGCCCGCACGCGGCGACATGAAGACGGACGGTGGCACAGCTTTGTCTGGCATTGTTACAATCCCAACCACCCTGGCGGAGTTTGTTGGTTTGGGTCCAGATCGCGCTCTCACCTAGGCTGGGGCTTGATGAGGGTGGCTGTTGTCGTACAAACCAAGCCTTTGGCGAACCCGGACTCGTACATCGACCTCGCGCCTAGGTCCCGTGTCAAGTGGCCCAGATCGCGCTCCCGCCTCGCTCCCGTGCACTTGTTTTGGGGCTTGCATCGCTCCGTGTCCTTAGGCAAGTGTGGGCCGCTAGCCCGCACGCCTTCCAAACCCTTCCAAACCCTTCCAATGCCCAAACGATTTCAACACACAAGCCCTTAGGCAAGTGCGGGCTGCTAGCCCGCACGCCTTCCAAACCCTTCCAATGCCCAAACGATTTCAACACACAAGCCCTTAGGCAAGTGCGGGCTGCTAGCCCGCACGCCTTCCAAACCCTTCCAATGCCCAAACGATTTCAACACACAAGCCCTTAGGCAAGTGCGGGCTGCTAGCTTGCACGCCTTCCAAACCCTTCCAATGCCCAAACGATTTCAACAGGCAAGTGCGGGCTGCTGGCCCGCACGCCTTCCAAACCCTTCCAATGCCCAAACGATTTCAACACACAAGCCCTTAGGCAAGTGCGGGCTGCTAGCCCGCACGCCTTCCAAATCCTTCCAATGCCCAAACGATTTCAACACACAAGCCCTTAGGCAAGTGCGGGCTGCTAGCCCGCACGCCTTCCAAACCCTTCCAATGCCCAAACGATTTCAACACACAAGCCCTGAGGCAAGTGCGGGCTGCTAGCCCGCACGCCTTCCAAACCCTTCCAAACCCTTCCAATGCCCAAACGATTTCAACACACAAGCCCTTAGGCAAGTGCGGGCTGCTAGCCCGCACGCCTTCCAAACCCTTCCAAACCCTTCCAATGCCCAAACGATTTCAACACACAAGCCCTTAGGCAAGTGCGGGCTGCTAGCCCGCACGCCTTCCAAACCCTTCCAAACCCTTCCAAACCCTTCCAATGCCCAAACGATTTCAACACACAAGCCCTTAGGCAAGTGCGGGCTGCTAGCCCGCCCCGCGCGCCTTCCAAACCCTTCCAATGCCCAAACGATTTCAACACACAAGCCCTTAGGCAAGTGCGGGCTGCTAGCCCGCACGCCTTCCAAACCCTTCCAAACCCTTCCAACGCCCAAACGATTTCAACACACAAGCCCTTAGGCAAGTGCGGGCTGCTAGCCCGCCCCGCGCGCCTTCCAAACTCTTCCAATGCCCAAACGATTTCAACACACAAGCCCTTAGGCAAGTGCGGGCTGCTAGCCCGCACGCCTTCCAAACCCTTCCAAACCCTTCCAATGCCCAAACGATTTCAACACACAAGCCCTTAGGCAAGTGCGGGCTGCTAGCCCGCGCGCCTTCCAAACTCTTCCAATGCCCAAACGATTTCAACACACAAGCCCTTAGGCAAGTGCGGGCTGCTAGCCCGCACGCCTTCCAAACCCTTCCAATGCCCAAACGATTTCAACACACAAGCCCTTAGGCAAGTGCGGGCTGCTAGCTTGCACGCCTTCCAAACCCTTCCAATGCCCAAACGATTTCAACAGGCAAGTGCGGGCTGCTGGCCCGCACGCCTTCCAAACCCTTCCAATGCCCAAACGATTTCAACACACAAGCCCTTAGGCAAGTGCGGGCTGCTAGCCCGCACGCCTTCCAAATCCTTCCAATGCCCAAACGATTTCAACACACAAGCCCTTAGGCAAGTGCGGGCTGCTAGCCCGCACGCCTTCCAAACCCTTCCAATGCCCAAACGATTTCAACACACAAGCCCTGAGGCAAGTGCGGGCTGCTAGCCCGCACGCCTTCCAAACCCTTCCAAACCCTTCCAATGCCCAAACGATTTCAACACACAAGCCCTTAGGCAAGTGCGGGCTGCTAGCCCGCACGCCTTCCAAACCCTTCCAAACCCTTCCAATGCCCAAACGATTTCAACACACAAGCCCTTAGGCAAGTGCGGGCTGCTAGCCCGCACGCCTTCCAAACCCTTCCAATGCCCAAACGATTTCAACACACAAGCCCTTAGGCAAGTGCGGGCTGCTAGCCCGCACGCCTTCCAAACCCTTCCAAACCCTTCCAATGCCCAAACGATTTCAACACACAAGCCCTTAGGCAAGTGCGGGCTGCTAGCCCGCACGCCTTCCAAACCCTTCCAAACCCTTCCAATGCCCAAACGATTTCAACACACAAGCCCTTAGGCAAGTGCGGGCTGCTGGCCCGCACGCCTTCCAAACCCTTCCAATGCCCAAACGATTTCAACACACAAGCCCTTAGGCAAGTGCGGGCTGCTAGCCCGCCCCGCGCGCCTTCCAAACCCTTCCAATGCCCAAACGATTTCAACACACAAGCCCTTAGGCAAGTGCGGGCTGCTAGCCCGCACGCCTTCCAAACCCTTCCAAACCCTTCCAACGCCCAAACGATTTCAACACACAAGCCCTTAGGCAAGTGCGGGCTGCTAGCCCGCCCCGCGCGCCTTCCAAACTCTTCCAATGCCCAAACGATTTCAACACACAAGCCCTTAGGCAAGTGCGGGCTGCTAGCCCGCACGCCTTCCAAACCCTTCCAAACCCTTCCAATGCCCAAACGATTTCAACACACAAGCCCTTAGGCAAGTGCGGGCTGCTAGCCCGCACGCCTTCCAAACCCTTCCAATGCCCAAACGATTTCAACACACAAGCCCTTAGGCAAGTGCGGGCTGCTAGCCCGCACGCCTTCCAAACCCTTCCAAACCCTTCCAATGCCCAAACGATTTCAACACACAAGCCCTTAGGCAAGTGCAGGCTGCTAGCCCGCACGCCTTCCAAACCCTTCCAATGCCCAAACGATTTCAACACACAAGCCCTTAGGCAAGTGCGGGCTGCTAGCCCACACGCCTTCCAAACCCTTCCAATGCCCAAACGATTTCAACACACAAGCTCTTAGGCAAGTGCGGGCTGCTAGCCCGCACGCCTTCCAAACCCTTCCAATGCCCAAACGATTTCAACACACAAGCCCTTAGGCAAGTGCGGGCTGCTAGCCCGCACGCCTTCCAAACCCTTCCAATGCCTAAACGATTTCAACACACAAGCCCTTAGGCAAGTGCGGGCTGCTAGCCCGCACGCCTTCCAAACCCTTCCAATGCCCAAACGATTTCAACACACAAGCCCTTAGGCAAGTGCGGGCTGCTAGCCCGCACGCCTTCCAAACCCTTCCAAACCCTTCCAATGCCCAAACGATTTCAACACACAAGCCCTTAGGCAAGTGCGGGCTGCTAGCCCGCACGCCTTCCAAACCCTTCCAAGGCCCAAACGATTTCAACACACAAGCCCTTTGGCAAAGAGAGCACATGGGTGTACGTTTTGAGGACACAGCCCACCCCTCAATTTGCAAACGCAATGCCTACCACTGGAGCTAACAAGACTTATATGGGTGTTTAATGATTAAGCACTTCCTTTTGGCGGCATGATGCTCGTTAAAACAAGACTGCGCAGCTTAAACACAAGCGCCAACGCGACTGCACGTTGCGAAAGCCAAAACACGGAAAAAACAGAGTGCGGAAAAGGCGACAAAAAAGACAGAGAACCAAACAAGAATATGAATATAAGAAAAAAAGTGCAACAGAGAAAAACAAGCAAAAACCCGAAGAAACGCACAGCCAAGAGCGGAAAAGTGTCCAAAAGCAAAAACCCGAAGAAAAAAAAAAAAAAAAGCATGTTGAAAAAAAGTGCCTGAAAAACTTCAGGTGACAGAGGCCTCGGAAAAGCAGAAAAATCCCGAGAAAGGCATAGGTTTCCAGCCGAAAAGTGCCGAAGAGCACACGGGCAAGGACGCCCCGCGGTCCAACTACCTCTAGTCCGCCCCGTCAACGTGCAGTCGATCAGCTGGTTCTTTGCCAGTGGTTCGGCATTCACGAGGATCTTCTCGAGCATCTCCTTCATTCCAAGGGCTGCACTGTTGAACAACCTGGAGCAGTGAGATGCCGTGGAGTTGTGGACAGCACCCTGGCACAGAGGTCCGTGAGCTGGGCGGCTCCGCAGTGCTCCAGGAGACGTTGGATGACCCGACAGCCGTAGATGTGCGAGGCCAGGCTCCTGGCTTTTAGGGTCTAGGGTTTAGGGTTTAGGGTTTAGGGTTTAGGGTTTAGGGTTTAGGGTTTAGGGTTTAGGGTTTAGGGTTTAGGGTTTAGGGTTTAGTCTTTAGGGTTTAGGGTTTAGGGTTTAGGGTTTAGGGTTTAGGGTTTAGGGTTTAGGGTTTAGGGTTTAGGGTTTAGGGTTTAGGGTTTAGGGTTTAGGGTTTAGGGTTTAGGGTTTAGGGTTTAGGGTTTAGGGTTTAGGGTTTTTTTTTGCCGCCCGCATAGCTGAACTGAATGTTCACATGGCAGGGAATTGGCAATGAGTCAAAACGTTCCACGGTTTAGGGTTTAGGGTTTAGGGTTTAGGGTTTAGGGTTTAGGGTTTAGGGTTTAGGGTTTAGGGTTTAGGGTTTAGGGTTTAGGGTTTAGGGTTTAGGGTTTAGGGTTTAATTAGGGTTGAGGGTTTTTTTTGCCACCCGACTAGCCACGGCAATGCGGGGTGCAAGGTCGGAACTTGAAAGGAGAACAGGTATTCCCCGGCATTCAAAAGGCTACCTGGAATACATCGCAAGCAGGGGGCAATCATGGTAGGACATCGTGGTTGGATGACGGTGTGTTCGGTGGGGGGGGGGTTGTGTGTCACAGCAACAAACAACAAGTCCACTACAGACGAACCCCAACCCGTAGGATCCAAAGGGAGTGCAACCCTCCCCCGTATTACAGCGTAGTCGACACCTTGGCCCACCACCCTGGTTTGGCTGCGTTTTTTGTACAACTATGCCAGATCATGGCCCTCCTGTTCCCTCCCTGGGTGCGGTTTAAGCAAGACCAGTAGCCAATGCGAATGAGAACCCTGCCTAGGGGGGGGGGAGTATTTGGGAGAGCCAGCGGACCTGGACGACTTCGTCGAGCTCTACGGAGGACTTCTCTCCATGTGACAGCACTACAGCACAACAGGCACATTGGTCTGTCACACTGATTCGGCTTGCGATTTTGTACAACTACAGTACGCCAGGTTGAGGGTTTAGGGTTTAGGGTTTAGGGTTTAGGGTTTAGGGCGAGGAACCAACCCCCTTGCTTCAGAACTCTTCACAACTCCATCCCGCTGGCCACAAGCCAAGGCACGCTGTGTCATTCTCCACCTAGCTTTCGCATTGCTTTCGCCGGAACATTCCGAAGAGAATTGACAATTCTTGACGGAGAGGCACACAAAAGTCGGCTTGGGCACCGACGGCATGAATAATGAAGCTGACTGAATCAGGGGGCATTTGCTCAATACACTTTTGAATAACATGGTTCCCATGCCTTGGCTCCGGCAAAAGCTCCAAGGCAACTACTTTAAGATCTAACATGACCTGCTGCATAACTGCTGTATGCCTGAATGGAATCCAGACTGGGCGGCATATTGACGATGCAATCACCCACATTATCTTGCAACGACATAGAAAGTAACACCTGCAGGTCCTTCGACACAGCGCCGATGGCCTCAAAAATTGCTTTCAATGGTAAATGACATGAGGATGCACGCAGCCCACCCTCGCCCGCCTTCTGGACCACTCGGCATCCATAGTTATCTTTTGACAAGCTCGCAATTTCAGGCTGAAGCCTCTCACACAGGAGCTTCTTCTGGTCTGGATCGCCTAACAGCTGCGGGCACATGGTCAAGCGTATGAATACGATGGCGATTGCAAGCAAGTAAATACGCGTGGGAACTCACAGCAAACAGCAGCCTATGTCAAAGAGCTTCTGCACCACAAAGTTGCCACTCACATCTTTGGCCAGCGACGCAGCATCAGGATCGGCATCGTCAGAACATATTCCGGCGAAGACCGCCTGTCCTTAGGCAAGATGCCTGTGACCTCAACTCCCTCCACATCGAAACCTAGACCCTGAACCCTAAACTCTAAGCCCGTGGTCGTATCAATGTCTGACAAGATGCTCTCTTCAGGGCTGGCTTCATCCAGCTTGTTCTGCAAGAAACGACTCCCATGCTGATCTTGTGCAAACTCGAGGAGATGTGGAAGTGCTTCCTGTAAAGTGACTTTGGCCTTCATGGCATTTCCTTGGGCATTTCGTACTGTCAAGAGTTCTGGACTGCAGTTGGTGTCCACCTCCATTTGCGGAGCTGGGCTTGTCTCTTTGCCTTTCGCCTTTCCACGACGCTTCTTGCTGCTGTCCTTCTGGTCCTTCTGACCCTTGCCTTGCGCTTGCTTGCCCCGACCCTTGTCCGCAGGCCCTGTAGGCTGCAATGGTGGCGGCTGCGCACTGGGCATGCCCGGGTACATGGGTGGATACATAAAAGGCATCATGTGGTACATCGGCATAGGACAAGACATGGGACAGGGGGCCACAGATCCCGGTGCTGGATACGGCGAAGGCGCCATGCTGTATGGAGGGGGATACTGGCCCAAGGCGGCCAGAGCAGGGTCGAATTCTGGTGGGGCTGGGACCGCGGTCGCCGCTTTCCTTTGAGGCGTTTTGCCACCACGCCCGCCACCCTTCCCTCCTTTCCCGCCTTTCCTCTTGCTATCCGGAACAAGAACCTTCATGGGATTCATGGGGGAGTGCACGTCGCTGAAGTCACCTAAGTGACTCAAATTCAGGTTTGGCGAGGCCATGGATGCCACCGCGTTGGCTGCGGCATTCGCTGCAGCTGCCGCGGCTGCGCTGGTCACTGCTGGACCTGCCTTTCCTGCAAAAAACTCATCGCCCATCTTACAGCTGCGAAGACTAAGACCCCGCACCCTACCGTTGGACCGCACAAAGCCGAAGCTGCGGTCACATGCAACGGAGATCAGGATTGATTGTCGTCGCCGGCGCATCCTGCAACAACCTGGAACAACAAACCCTGGCAATGCAACCTGTGGCAGTTTGCCAAGTGTTTGACGTCTTTGATTGTTTGGGCAGTGTTTTGTTGCACCTGGTTGTCAATTTGCTACAGAACACAGGAGCCCGCAGGCCAGAAACGAAGAAGCCCTGAACAAAAGGAAGCTTGGAAGAGGAAGTTTAAACGGAGGGAAAGCGGCGAGCACAGCGGAATGCGGCTGCGCCTTTGTAGAAGGACAACTCCAAGCTTTGCACCGCAACGGGGACAAAACCCTCGAACATTCGGGACAAACCCATGGGATACAGGGGGCCCGAGAGAGATGTTCTGGCCAAACACAATTCTGTCGATGTTCAGCCGCACGTTCGTACGTCAATCAGCGTCTTTGGTGGAATGGTTTGGGATGGGTTGTGCAATCCGCACACTATAGCAGCAAATCACGCTCTCCGGGAAGCGTAAACTATCCAGGGCACAGCGAGATGCATGTCTACACTGCATCGAAAACCTTTCTAAATGGACACTGCCCACGTCCATGGTGAAACACATACGCGATTGCACATCAGTGCAAATCCACCCGCAAAAACCAGCATCAACTTTCCTCGATCTTGCAGACCTGGTGAAAAGGATGCGGCAAGCGCAGAAGAACTTCGCAAAACTCTAATCTCAGGCATCCAGTGCATGGCCTCGTCGTATCGAAGCCCCTCCACATCTCGACCATCCTGCGCAGTGCTTTCGCTGTCTGGACCCAGCCCGTTTGTTTTGAGAAATCTAAGCTGACGTAAAGTACTGCCCGTCCTCAAGCTCCACCGCAACGCAAAAGCCCTCCAAGTCCACGGTCCTTCTCAGCGCTGCAAGAACTTCGGTCAAGCTTCAACTGTCAACTCGTCCTCATATGGCCCTTCTTTCCCTTGTACTGGCCCTTCACCTGAGCACAGCTGCAAGTGCCCTAAGAATGCGAGAAACCCTATACTCCGGGCAGTCTCAAAGGTCCAGGCTACCATGACCGGCTTGCCAAGGTTGGGGATGACAGTCCTTGCCAAGAGTGCTGATAGACATAACCAGGGCCATCAAATTTCCTAGAATGTCCTAAGAGCATGGCTCCAGCATTTCTTGGTCCAAGCGGATAAGATCCCTGCCAGTTGGGGCATTTGGGACTTGTTATCTGCAGACAAGTACTTCTCAACGAGGCCTACTCTCCACCATCCGGATGTCAGCCGTAAACTGCTTCCGGACCTTCTCCACCTTCCATCACTTCAAGCCAAAGGCCGCAGGAACTCGGTCAGCTGAGGACACCTTGCCCTTCTTGCGATAATACTTGCCACCAGCCAGGTCTTGATGCATCACCTCACTAGAGTCACTCGAGGTCAAATCATGAAAGGACAGGACGTCACGTGCAGGGCAGGGTTGAAAGCAAGGAGACTCCTTCCCAGCGCGCCTTCACTATGATGCCTTCTGCTAGCCAGGGCTCTGATCCTGAGCAGCTTGCCGCTGATCCAAACGTTTAACTCTCACTACAGTACACTCTGGCACGCAAAACTACGGTCTGCTACGCCCATGCTATGTCATTGCACCGCTGCACTTGGCCTGAAGAAGAACTTTCAGAAGGAGACTTCGGCGCAGGCTCCAGCTTCTGCCTGGCAAACTTGCATAAGACGACTCGCGGAGCTGTTGCAGAGAGATGTCGCGCGCCTTTTGCCTGCTTCATGTTCCAATCGGATGCGTTCAACTGCGCTGAGCTTATGTTTCTTCGTGTCCTGAGGTGCAAAGTTGGCATCTGGCGGGGTTCTTTGCTCTGCCGGTCTCTGTCGTTGCCCATATGCTACCATTCTCACCGGCTCCTCTTTCACCGTCTCGTTGTCCTCAAAAGCTTGTGCGAGGGCGTTCCTCGGTGCCGGAAGAAGTCACCAATCTCACGGTGAATGCCTGGACCCTCCAAAAACATGCTGGAACTGTGCCGCGCAAGGCCAGCACTTCTTGCCAGCAGTCTCCGGCACCTTGGCCTTGACCTAAGCACTGAACGGGGCACTTGCCAGACATGATAATCCACGCAGCCTCAGGTTGCAACCTCGGATGTTTTCACGACACTCGATGAAGCCGAGCTGGCCCTGGGCGTCACATGTCCAATGTCACGCCCGATTGAGGACCTGGGAAGCCTGTGGGACCTGTGGGACCTGTGGGACCTGTGGGACCTGTGGGACCTGTGGGACCTGTGGGACCTGTGGGACCTGTGGGACCTGTGCACCTTTCAAAACTGTTGCACATGTAGTGCCTGTCGTACCTGAGGCTGATGCGACGCCATGTTGAAGGATATCGGAGCATCGCCTTCCTCGTGGCGCACGGCCACACCACGCAATTCACCCAACGTCTCTGCCGCGATTTCTCTGGAAGCCTTGCGCTGGAGCTCTGTAAATTCGGACTCCGCGAAGCCTCCATCCTGCTGAACCACTGGCATCTGGGCCAAAGGCATGCCACATCATGCCACGCTGACCTTCTTACATTCTGCGATGGCCTTCTTCCTCAGCTGACAACGCATCAACAATGGCAGCAGATCAACAGCAAGAAGCTGTGGTGCCCGCAGCGCGATATCGTGTCTTTGCTCTGCCGAAACCTCACCTTCCTCTTTCGCCTGCTCATAGCCAGAGTCTGCCACATGAGAAGGACAACCTCTGCAACGCGCTGCGCTCGCTTTGCCTTAAGGGAAAGCTCGAGCCTTTGCAGCTGCAGCTCTCAATCGAGCTTCAGGCGAGTTGTCCACGAACTGAAGGTACCAGCCTCCAAGTCAAGGTTTCGGCGAAGTCAATTCTGGCGAGTTGCACAAACTGAATTCTCACATCTCACCTTTGGGAGTTTTGTCGATGGTGCACTGGTTCGTTCTACCGAGGTATTGGACAAAGTTGCTGAGGGTGACCTGGCACACAGAGCGCTGCTCCCGATCCACTTTCTGCATTACCACTCCTGCAGCTTTACAACATTTTCCTACACACCTTACGCTTTTCTGGCAGGCCGGGCACACCCAGATGGTTGAGTTCATGTGCGTGTGATGGCGATTGGAAATGAAATCGCCTCAGTCCGCGATCAACATACGAGAAGCACACAGAAAAAGCGAGCGAGTTTCTCAGCCGAAGTGCAACGCGGACAGGACATGCACAGCTTCAGCAGCATTTTGCTCGAAAACGCCGGTGCTAACTCGAAATTTTGCTCCACGTGCGTGGCACTGCTGCACTGCTCGGCCTAGCTGCACGTTGCGCTTGGTCGAGCGCATGCTGCAAGCTCTCATGCACAACAGGCGTGTGCTTCATATCTGGGCTCGTGTCTATGCCCAGTTGATGGTCGCAAACTGCACATAGGAGCCATGGGAGCACGTCTTCCATCGTCCGTCATCGCATTGGTGGCCACCATGCACTGAGTCCTCAAAGCTTGCCTGCATAAGCTGCGCAGACTCTGTCTGCCACCACCGCCTCTCAAAGCCAGTCTTGAGCCTTCTCAAATACAAGCCAAATGTAAGGCCAAGAACAGACCCCAAAAACCTTACAAAATGTGCAGTCGAGGTTCTGGGACGATGTCAGTTATGCTTTGACGAGATTTCAGTCGCTCTCGCAAGAGCGTCGAGCTCACAAAGGAGTAGTGCGGCGGGCCTTCCACGAAGTATGTGCCTGGAACCACAGTCCGAAAGTCTTTGTTCAGATGTCATGCACTTTGCTAGCAGCAGTTCGTGCTTCCGTGACAAGACGCTCATCGGCCGAGAACATGTCGATAAGACTGGCCAGCAAAGATTCTGAACCTGTCGGGTGTTCCCGACCATGCCCAACACACGTGGGACCAAAATTATAGTGCCATCCCCAGTATGTTCCAATACCAACGAGGAAAGCAGCACAGATCAGTGGGTCTTCTATCGGAAAATGTCAGTTTAACGATTATTTGGCTCCATTACATGGACCAAGCCTCCAAATACCTCTCTGCCTTTCCATCTTCCTTCCAACTGCGAATACCACGATACCTCGGCGGGGCTGCCCTTAAATGCTGCCAACACAGATGAGGCCACGACGGCAACATAAAAAAGCAAGCCGCATAGCAGTTGCACCGATCTTGTTCGCCAGCTTGAAAATGACCTCAATAAATTCATGGGTGACTATTCTAAAGGGTGACTATTGACTACTCTAATTGAAGAACTTCTCGTCATGTTGTCTGAAATGTAGCTGAGCTGCATCACCCCACACCCACACCTCCACAGGCATTGACAAAAGAATATTTTACTTCGAACATCCCCACCTTGCTCCTCGTCAAAAAGAAAGAGCGTGAATAAGATGTTCAAACAAAGACACATTGATTCAAATACGCTTTCTTAGTTTTTGCTTGCAAGTGGGGTTGGGCACTCCAGGGAGCTGGGCACTCCAGGAGTTTCTGGGGTTGGGCACTAAGGAGCCTCTGGCACTTTAGGGAGTCTCTGGGGCTTGGGCACTCCAGGCAGTTTGGGCACTCCAGGGAGACTCTGGGTTGGGCATTTCTGGGTTGGCACTCCAGGCAAAATCTTGGGGGCACTCCAGGGAGACTCTGCGGTTGGGCACTCCAGGGAGACTCGTTGACAGGCTGGGCACTCCATAAGAATCTGGGGTTGGGCACTCCAGGGAGTAGACCGGGCGAGGAGAAGAGTTCCGGGCGAGGAGAAGAGTTGAGGTTAAAATCTAACAACCCCACACCGAAGGTGGGGAACAACTTGCATGTGCATAGTCCCACACCAAAACCATCTCCAGTGGCAAGGCTCTTCACCCACACCTTTTTTGATTTTCCTTACTGGATAGCCCCAAAAGCTTCAAGTTCTTGAGCTTGCCCCTGTCCTCACTCGCATGTCGGGAAATCAATTCCATATACTGGTTTGTGCTACCCATGGATACCGTCGTGCGTTCAGCACGATTTTATATTTGAAGGATCTTGCTGGGGTCTTGGCCAGAGCATTTATGCGAATACGATGATAACGTCCATGTTACGAGTGCGTGCGAGTGACCAAAAGGTCCATGCTCGCACGATGACACTGTCCATGTTACCAGTGCGTGCGAATGGCCGGAGTGGGTTTAGGTTTGGGGTCCCTGCTGCCACCTACTTGTGCCAGGCCGAACTTGAATTTGTTGGCTTTTGCCATGTTCTGTATACCCTTTGCATTTTTCCTCGAAGCGCGGACGATGGCCCGAGCTGCCACAGGGTTTTCGCGGATCTCGTGTACCACTTGAACATCTTCGAAACCTTCTAACGTGTTTAGTCCGTGTGCTAGCCAGGTTCTACGTTGTCGTCGCGTGTTTGAGGCTCGTCACGTCCTGCTTAGGTGGACATGCATGCCCTTCACATATTCTTTCGTTCTTGTCTTTCCAAGGAAGGAAAAAGCAGGGCCCAAACAAGCATACTGCCAGCCGGCGGCACCCCACAACAAGAGTGCCAATTTGTCTTGCCTTCACGTTCTGTGCACCCATGGAAGGAAGCGCTTGCTCGATGATTGCCTTGCGCTCATCGGGGCCTCAGCCATTCACACCTGTTCGGCTGCGTGTCGCACATGCAAGAGAGAGGTCAGAGTTCCGAGACCTTTGCTCACAGGGTACGTCCTCAGCACTTCCAGGATGCCCAGAGAATGAAGCAAGTTCTAAAGGCACATCAAAAAACCATCACAACAAGGATCTTGGCGGGGTTGATACCGATGACGACATGCCTGGGCGGAATCGCAGAAGCTGTTGCTGCGCATACGTCATCATGTGCGAGCACTGTCTTGCTTGCTTCCTAGCGTCACTTCAGAAAACGCCTTTGACAGATATTGGATGATTTCGAAGTGGCCGTGATGCGGCGGGTTGAACGATCCTGGCAGACAGAAACGCATGGTTCCCCACCCTCGGCGTGGTTATTAGAGCTTAAGTCTGCCCGGTGTCCCGTCCTGGTCCCACCCCAGAGAAGTCAGCACAAAGTCCCATAAGTGTCGTTGAATTTGCCCGCCCTGCCGAGAGCCCTGCCGAGTATCCCTGGAGTGCCTATCCTCTGAGAAGCCCGCAGAGTCCCGCAGAGTGTAACCCGGGTCAGGTGCACTTTGAAACTGCCCCTCATTTAACTGCCGTCTTGAGAGCCAAAATGACATGCAACCCGTTCCAGAAGCACGATCGCATGTTTGCATACCAAGGCCTAGAGGCCTAGCGCTTCAACTTCAATCATGTGTAGCAACATGCATCAGCCCAACGAACTAGGAGAGACCGAGCTGGCTACACGGTCGTAGCTCGCTTTGCTAGCCACGCGTGCAAACTTATCTCCTTCCTTCCGTTCTTGTTTCTTAATTGAAGAACTAACAACAACATACTGTACTTCTACTTGCTAACAAAAAACAACAGCAACAACAACATTGGTTATCGAAACTGCATTCAGCGGCAACGGCCTAGGAGGGGGAAAGGTAGTTTTACGGTGTTGAAGGGCTCGGATTCCCATGTGTTGCTCACAACGATACCCGGAGATTATGGATGCCCTGTGGAAAGAACCAATGGATTTCCACAACATTCAAAAGCAAAAATGGATTTGCCGTTTGAAGGCGAAGCCTAGTAAACATGTATGCAAATTTCAGGGATGCTCGGGAGGGGTAGGTGGGAGGGTTGCTAAAGAGTGGAGCTGGCGCACGAACCCGTTGAGCTTTATTCCACGGCTGTTTCGTACCATCAATACTGCTGATCGGCTTCTTGCCATCAGCATTCTCCTTACTGCTATCGCTTATGGTCAATGCTCATACATGTAGCAGATGAAGTACAATGGATTTGGACGCTGCTTTAGATAAACAACCTCTATTCCAGGATTGTCTATTGATACTGCTTGTTTTGAACCACCGTGTTCTTGCTTTGGTGGTTTTACTTCCCTCTGCTGTTTCCGAGATGTTGGGAAGCGTTCTCCACGTATTATTCCCCCACCCTTGATATGGGGTTGTTCGATTACAAGTCCTACTCGCTTCTTCGACCGGTGTCCTGGTCTTTCTGGAGTGCCCCACCGAGTATTCCGGGAGTGCCCACCCCCAAAGAAGCCCCGAGAAGGAGTCCCTCCGCGTATCGGCTGCTCTCATGCACTCATGCACATGTTTCTTGGCAGGCAGTCCTGCGAAAACCACGGAACGATTTGTGACCGCGGCGGGCGGATATCCGTGCGTTGCGGTGTCCCAACTGACCTCATGACAAGCAACGTCTCATGCAGGCTTCATCAGGTCGCTGATCGTGCATCCCAGCTTCCACTTTTCGAGGAGAGCACGTCCACAGCTTCCTTTCCCGACCCAGGGCAGGACTTTGGCGGAGCCGTTCAGAAGCTAGTCAGCAGATATCAAGGTATCTTGAAACCACTTTAACATGGAATGCTGGCCTCAACCGGCTACTTAGCTCAATCGTATCTTGCACCAAGCTACGCCACAGGCGCAATGCAGCAACGGTCCAAAGCACCCATCATCTTGAAATACGCGCTCGGGCTCACGCGATCTCTCAATACCTTGGGTTTGGCTTCGTCCTACTCGCCCTCCGACACCATGCATGTAACTACAGGCCAGGCCGTTCAAGAAAGTTAAACATACTGCGAATCATTCCAAACAGGCTGGCCACGTCCATGGCCAGCTGGTCGGGAAACTAACAGCTACAGGCTACGCCACATGACCGAGCCAAACAGCTTCAAACGGTTCACACGCACACATAGTCAAAGTGACCTGTGCTCGGGCATTGCTTGCATCACCAATGCCGCGTCTTGCATGACAACTAAAGGACCCATGTCTGCTGCAATGCCTTCAAGAAAGGAGTCTCACTTCCCGTGCTGAGCATCAGGCAGTAGACTGTGTTGGCAAGCACCTCCGCTTTTCGAACAAGCGAAATACCAAGAGCACAAAAGACTTATGCTTGCTGCGAACTTCGGCTAAGCATCCAGCTCTCTGAGATCTGTAACTATGGCCTGAGCACGAGTTGCTTGTTATCGTTTTGCCATGCATGTTTACATTTGACCAATCAACCAGGCCAAAACCGATTCTGCGAACAAACATAGTTTCGTCTTGACTTCCACAGCAGGCTACGACATACATGGAAAACTTGCCATCTCTCAGTGGGATGCGGCTTTCAGTCCTGCAGAACTGATTGCACCCCCTGTCAATCCTCGCTGCGCTGACGTTATGTGAGTGAACTTCTTTGAATCCCCATTGCCTGTCTGAGGAGCCCCTCAGTCTACGATTGCCACTCGAGACATGTCGACCGAGAGCACCTTTTGTTGAGCCTTTCTGCGCAAGTTGAGTTCACTACTTTTAGTTAGAGTATACCTTGCCTATTTAGGCTAATAATGCCACCGTCAACCCATTAGATGATCATTCCTAGGGTCCCCCCTACATTTCACCGATATATCACTACTACTTCCCTCATTAGATGATCATTCCTAGGGTCCCCCCTACACTTCACCGATATATCACTACTACTTCCCCATTATCAATACAATTCTAGGAATAACCATAACCCTATCTATTATCTCTAAGGTGGCATTATTAGCCTAAATAGGCAAGGGGGTTCTCGTAGAATTTGGTTCAGGGTTTAGGGTTAAGGGTTCGGCGCGGTCTGACTGTTTGCGAAGCCGCCTCAGCACTGCATGGCACTCCACATCAGTGGAAGCCGGGCTCAAACTTCTGCTTGACATCTTCTGGCAGGCCGTCCAAAATGGATTCAGCACAAGCCACTTGCTCACACGCGGACTTGCCACTTTTACGGTCACCGGGCTTCAATGCATCCTGTCCATCTTGCAATGTTAAGCTCTTGCATGTCGTGGGCACTATGTACAGGCAAACAACTCCTCCAGTGCAGTCTTTTGGCACTGGAACACGCTCCAGATGCCTCTTCTGAATCCGGGTGTGTTCACGCCCTGTTGCGATTTGGATGAAGTAAAACTTCTTGGCCTCCTCACCACTTGGAATGCCACAGGCGTCTGTACTTGGATAGTTGTCTCCACGTGGACGATAAAGCACTCCATCCCTGATTGTCTTGGCGCCGTGGAGCTCACACGTGCCGTGAAATTCAAGGCACAGGTCGCTTCCATCGCTGAGCTTCAGCTTCAAACCGCCCTTCGCAACGGCCTGAGTGAGTGCCATCGCCTCAAAAATGTAGGGAGTGGCTCGGGGCACGTCTTTGATCAAGCGCTGGATGACTCCACGGTTGTGGGATGTTGTGGGTGCACATCTCCGTCTCAACGCGACTTGAGACCCACCCGATTGCATCACCAGCTGTGCGGCCCTTGCCATCACTCTCGGTTTCTTCATCGTCATCGAGCAGTTCAGGGCTCCCACGCAGGACCACCATCGTGTGAGCATCCTTGTGGGACACCTCTTCACCAGCAAAATTGCGACGTGTCATGCTGCGTATGAACTTTTGCAGTTCGTCGTTGAACTTATGCTTCATACATGCCCTTACCAATCGCGGCAGGGTCAATCCCGACTCGTTGTACAGCTCCTCTTTCTCCTTTTCCAAAGCTAACCCCTGCACATCGGGACGCTCCCTCTGGATCCAAATGTGAATCTCTGCTTGACTCCAGACAGGAAGGTATAGAATGTCAGGGAACTCCTTGTCGCCATCCTTGCCGATCAACTGCGAGAGCTCGGAACCAGCACTGGCCACCACAACCAAGCGATGCAAACTTTAGACTGCGCAGGGGCTCTGCTGGTTGAAGGAAAACTCTGTGTTTTCGACCTTGCCGTCTGGCGCAACATCCACCAAGCCGATGGCTTTTCCAACTCCGTTCTGATGCACTTTGCTTCCGCGCTGGAAGGCTTCAGTCTGCCATCCTGTCGGGCGTTTCCGAGCAACGAACAAGCACCGGTCCGTAGCGAAAAGCACAGCAGTAAAAGGAGAAGCCTCTGACAAGCACTCGGAAAGCAGGTAATATAACATCGTTGTCTTGCCAATTCCGGGCGTTCCTTTGACGACATAGGTCTGCTTGTCAATGTTACGGAGCGATTCTTCGTCGAACAACAAGTCCCGCATCTTCTTGTAGCAGTTGCGAACATACATCGGGGTGTTGGGGATTCTCGTCCCCTCTCCGAGCCATCCATCTGCCACCTTCGCGGTCTTCACATCCTCGAACCACTCCACTGCGGCGGTTTCCTGAGCACAACGCAAATAAATCGGAGTCCTACAACTAAACCAAAAAAACACCCAACCCCCTAAACCCGACTAAGCAACCCAATCAACTAACCCAATCGGGCAACGCTACGAGGAAACCAAACCTAGGGGGGAATAAACAACTACGCTACAACCTAAGAGCCAACCCCTAAACCGAAAAAGTAAGATAATCAACTGAGGCTATCGGGGAAGCCTACGAAGCAAGGAAACATTTACTAGAAATAGGGAGTAAAATTTATAGTGCTCTATGTTCATGTCCAGCCACCGGTGCTGGTTGCAACAGCTCTGGATGTATACGGTTGTAAAGTGATTGCGCTATAGCTATAACCATCATTTCATCGTCCAACTTCATTCCGATAATCAATGTCAGATTGTCAACCGAAGCTTCTCGTAGATTCACGCGTGTATCCAGCCAGACTTTCGCACACCTTTGTGACGATATCTTCGGAGTATTCCATGGCGTCGAGCTCTCCCTTCACCCACTCGCAATGCTTGCCAGGCTCCACATCGGAGAGTCTTCGCTGTTTCGCTGCACGCTCCATTGCGTTAATGGGCCATGTCAAAACATCACAACAGGTGACACGAAATGCAAAAGAGTGCATTTACGCAAGACATATCTGCGAAAGGATTGTTTGCGTGAAAGGTTGCACACGGCACAAGCCAAAGGTTTCAACCATAGCTTACTATCACATGATATCTTGTTGAACAAAAAGTCGCTGAGGTTGAGAATGCATGATTGCGCATGCCAAATCTCACTTCAACTGATTTAGACTCGGTTTAGGGCTTAGGGCTTAGGGTTTAGGGTGTGCGAAGATAGCATGAAGCCACCGTTTAAGAGGCATCTCACCTCGCCACTCACCTAAACTTGCAATACTTACTATTGAAGTTGAAACTCGTCCAGCGACGAACAACGTAAGTTACAAGTAGTAACACAACACACAACTGCAAGTTGCTAGTCATAGAGCAACTTGCAACTCAAGTTGCGAAGCCCCCCACAACTTCAAAACGGAAGAAAAGCTACACCTTTAACAGCTCAAAGCGTAAATACGCTCTATTGTTACCTTCAACATAATAATATTTTTGACCCAGCTTTTCATCAATCTTTTCTATGGTATAAACATGTTGGCTAAAGTTGCCCACTCTCTCTTTTTCATTGGGTTTCCTCTTCCGGAATATTTTAACTTCATCACCAACACTTAATTCAGGATAGACCCGATTTCGTTTAGCATTCATATTTAAATGCAGTTTAACTTTTAATTCGTTGCTCGGTTTTCTGGCATCCTTTGGGGTGAAGCCAGTAGCGGAATGTTTCATTTTATTGTTATATGTTAATAATATTTCAAAAATGTAATCCGGCCACTGAATATTGTTCTTGCCCTTTTTCTGATCGGCTTCAACTCTACGATATAATAAGTCTTTGAACGTCCTAATGGCCCTTTCGCTGAAATTTGCGTGTGCCCTAGTTCTATAGTGTTCTATGTTCTGTTCCTGTAAATACTTTTGTATTGCCTCCTTGTTCATCTCGTCGTCGGTACAAATTAGTTTGGGCTTCTTCCCCATTTTATGTAAGCATTCAATCATCCCACTCGCTAAATCTTCTTCCTTCTTACCTTTAATTGCCACGACATGCATAAACTTATCAAATATATCAATCAAACACATACCTACTCATAAGTCCATCTGATACTCATATGCTGAATGCGGGGCGACAAAGCTATTTGAACCGACGGGCTTACGCTTTTGATCAACATTCGTCCTAAAAAACTCGTTCATATCAGACATTGTGACGGTTTTGTCTTTCTCCCGTGCTTCTTCTAAAGTCCGGCTTCTACTGCCGAAACCCGCGCGATCAAAATATACTTCATTAATAATTTTGTGTTTCTCACTCATATAAAAACAAAAGAAAATAATGATTTAATAATTAAATTAAATCATCATTCGTCATCCATCGGCTTTATGATCTTGAACTTGCTCATATCATATTTGGGTGTGCCGCGCTTTGCTTTAAAAGGCTTTTTTGCATTCATTATTTCAGACAGCAATTCTTCTGTCAACTCATCGGGGTTCAGTTTGATATTGTTGGCTTCTTCATACTCCTTGATCTTCTTTCTCTGATTGTGTCGTAGTGCAGATTCTCGTTTCTTTTGCATATATTTTTCATCATTTCTGCGCTTGTTGTAATACAATCTGCTGTATATGGCCAGTTGCTCTTTGATTTCATCCATTGTCATATCCTCGGGGTTTTTACTCATATTATACTATACTATATATTATTTTTTATCTTTAGACATATTCTATATATCACAAAACATTTAATAATTTAAAAAAACATCTTTGGAAAATTTCACTTAAAGATTTAATAATATATAGTTTAATTATATTAGTATATGTCCAAAGCCGTTAAGCGTAATACGGAAGCACTACAAACATTCTATAACAACAAGCGAAACTGCATCACCCAAGCCACCAGAACAAAAGTTCAAAATATAATTAACTTATACTCAGATCGTAAGATCGCCCAATTCACCACAGCAGACAATTTAATTAGGAAACTCACCACTGCAAAAACAGACAAAGAAAAAACTAAAGCTGAAAAAGACTACGACAAGATTTATGACAAGCACAAGGATAAAGAACAGCTAGGTCAGAGAATGGCACAAGCAAAAGAAGACAACAAGCGAACGGGAAGAACCAACCCGAGGAAACCAAGAAAATATTCAATCAATGTCCATTTATACCAGCTGAAGACAGAATCACACCAAGGATTATCAGTATCTTTCAGAGACAGCAGGGGTAGGGCATACGTTCCTATTTATATGCGTGATCTATCAGCCAATGTAGCCACAACACCGTGGGTTGAAACCCTAGCAGGGAGACGAATATTTAGAGACGAGAAGCCCGACACAAAAACATTTCATAGGCTCAAGATGTTACTAATGACAGATGACAGTTTTAAAGCAGATGTCGGTTATGCCGAAGGTTACATTGCTTGTATTAAAGTTAATTACGCCGAAAGGGTAGATAACGCCGATGCTTTCAAGCCACAAGACGAAGAACTAACAAACACAGAGAATGTCAGTATGTATCACAGATATATTCAGACACCCTTAGATCCACAGTATGAGACCTTTAAGGAAGCCATTACAGTAGAACATTACGTTAAGAACGAGTGTTGGTTTAACACCTTGACCGATTATTATAAGGATACCCTTATGGGAGACAAGAAGAGAGAGAAGAACAAACTAGCAAAAGAAGCCATCCTAAAGATCATAAACAAGACGGAAGAATATTTTACAACAAAAGGGGCGTCAATAACACATATGGCGAAGGTGTTTGAACATTTTAACTTGCAAGTCAGAATTTATGATGTCTTTGACACTCTGATTTATAAGCGCGACCCAATAAAAAGAAATCATAATATCCCAGCCTTATACGCTATAGTGAAGAACAGTCATATCTACACAGTCAGTGATAATATGAATATGTTGAGGCAGATGATACCCAAAAGCAGTAATTATAGTATATCTGTTAAGGCATCTTCAGATTATCACCTTGACGAGAAGGAGGAGCCAGTGGAATGTAAAATGATCACATCCTTAGACGACATCCGGAAGTATACCGAGCACAGCGAATATACATTGGTATATAATGGCTACGATCTGTCTCATCTCTTTTATCTCAGCAAACAGGCAGGATATGAGCCACAGGTTAGGTTCAGCGCGGGGTGTGTGTCCGAACTTAGTGAATAATTCTATAGATGGTTCCATCTGCGTGAGAACGGAGCAGATCTACAACAAGATGTCTAAAGCGATGTTTAATTTTAACGCCGCCCTCTTCAAGCCGACCCACAAGTCATATTACAACGAAGTAGATGTAGAGATTTTCAAGGAGTGTCGCACAATCCCCCCAACGGGTGAAATAAATAAACATTATTATTTATATAACCCTAAGACAGACAAAGACGACAAATACTGTTATACCCCAGAAGTGGCTACGGAGATAGATGTAAGAAAAGCTTACACATCTGCGTTTAACAAGATCGCCCAGATACCGGTATTCACTCAGTTTGATATCTGGAAGCCTTTCAATGGTAACGTGACTGATTTTCACGATCTAACTCTCTACTTGGTCAAGCCCACCAGGCGGAGTTTATTTTTCAATAAAGCCTACACTTTAGTATATGGTATGTTTTTAAAGCACTTTGTGAAGCAATGTAAGATTCTTTATTATAAGCAACCATCCAGAGTATACAAGGTGGATTATAGGAAGATCACAGCGGAATTATGGAAGACAGACATCTCTGACAAACCAGCCGAAGACATCAGAATCAAAAAACTGATAGCTAATGTTAACTTTGGGCTACTTGAGAAGAACACGAACAAAGCCCATAAAAGTTATGCCTTTGATACTCTAAAGGAAGCCTTATATTATCAGAACAAGATCGGAGGAAAGATTAACAGAATCTCGGGTATGTATGTTGATGAAATTGGGTATGTATGTTGATGAAATTGAGTTACCTAACGGCGAGACAGACTTCATAGAAAAAGAGATGGACAGAAAATATTATTGCTTAACAGTGACCGATAAAGCCACCCTACGAAACGGATTTATATACATCAAAGAATTATTATTACAACATCATAACTTCAAAATGCACACCGACTACACCAAGCTAACAGAAAATCATATAGGAGTGTAGAGTGTTAAAACAGATGCTTTTGTTATCAGGAAGGAGCATTTAAGACGCGCTAAGAACCTAATAGAGTTCAATGAACGCATCGGGGGGTGGAGACACGAGAAGAGTAAAAACATAGCGGAACCAACCGAGCAGTGGGCACCAAAAAAGAACGAACTGATACCAATTCCCGTAGTTAGCAATGAGACCAGACCCATAGAAAACGAGTGGGACACGGAAAGCATAGCAAAAGATATCGTCACATATAATCCTATGATGATCCGATCTAAATACGCGGGTGGTGGCAAGTCGCATATAGCAAAGCATTTCAGCAAGTTAGGCTATAAAACTCTCTTTGTAGTGCCCCAGAACAGCTTATCTCAAAATGTTGACGACGACGCTGTGACTACCAACAAGTTTTTCGCCATCCCCGTGGGTGATGGAGAGAAATTGCCAGAGTTTGACCATAGCAGTTATAACTGTATTGTCTTTGATGAGATCTATATGAATGGAACCCACATATTAAATAGAATCAGAGAGTTTGTTAAACGAAACCCGAATAAAATCATAATCGGAGCGGGTGATGTCAAACAGCTTCCGCCCATTGAAGACCTAACTAATACAAGGAAGCCGGACGAATACGCAGATGAATGTATTGATCAGATCTTCAAGTATAATGTTATGCTTACCATATGTAAGAGATTAGGACCACAAGGAGATCCAACAGCAGAAGCCAACAGAAAAATATTAGATATGATGTATGATGATATGTGGCTTCATAAGTTATCTTTATCCGAGTTTGTTCATAAGTATTTCAATACAACCGGTGATATGACAGAATCTCAGAAGAACATAGCCTATACGAATATGAGGTGCTTAACGGTGTCTAATGCAATCCGAAAAAGCTTGGGTAAAACAGATAAGTATGAAGTGGGTGAGATCTTAATCTGCCGATTATACAAGAAAACGAGTAATGTCAAGTTCAATGTTAATTACAGGTTTAGGATCGTAAGCATATCCAAGAACATAGTTAAATTAGAGAATGTCAAGTCCAAACAGCAGTATTTAACGGACATAGCCACCTTAGATCAACATTTCAGATATGACTACTGCACCACTTGCCATTCAGCACAAGGGGCTTCAATTTATGGCAAGATCGTTATACATGAGTGGGAGAAGTCGCATTTAGTAACTCGTGAGTGGTTGTGGTGTGCCTTGACCAGAAGCACCGATTTTAATAATGTCTTGTTCTACGAGAGTGCCGAAGCAGAGAATGAACTGGACGAAACAACCTTGTATAAATACTGGCTTAACAAGATAAACGCCTATAAGCTACAAGATCAGAAAGCGAATAGAGAAATAAACGAAAGTAAGTATGTTGATCCAAGTTGGTTTATGAAGCGAGTGTATAGTCATTGTAACAACTGCGGGTGTAACTTTGAATTTGAGTGTAAGAACGGCTTCTTAACAAGTAACATGACTTGTCAGAGATTAGATAACAGCATCGCCCACGAAAGCGATAACTGCGAAGCTTGGCGTAAGTTGTGTAATTGCTCTGCAAGGTAAGTTAAACATTAATGGTTTAATGTTTAACTTGCTTTAGATGTTCGGTTTTCAAGCAAATCTTTCATAAACGGTCTCTCTAAAAAGCTTCTGTAGTTGTCTCAAAGCGTTCTTTTTCTCAACTAGGTTACCCTTTGACGATACCCACTGATTATATAAGCTTCTGTAGTTTCTGAATGTGGTTTTAGAAATTGCTTCTTTATTGATTGCATCTTCAAAGGTTTCTCTCAGTTTTTGTATTCCAATCTTACTAGGCATTATCATAGGTTGTAGGTTCTGTTCAGATCTCGGTGAAGAAAGATCGGCTCTAGCACTCTCTTTTAAATGTGTTTTTCTAGTCATTCTTCTTCTCGGTGGCGGTGGTCGTTCTTCTTCGGGAGGAGCGTTACCGCTTGAACTTGATGATCCACCTTGTTGGAAGTTTGGCCTGGGTCTTGCTTCTTCTGGGGGTGTTGCTGGTGGCGCTGGTAGTGCTAACGGTTGTTGTGTCGGTCCGACATTTGGTGCACCACACAGGAAATGCCCTCCACTCATGAAGTCTTGTTTTGCATCCGGACACTCATGACGTCTACACTCGGGCCCGTAAACATCCCTCAACCCAACAGCCGAGCCAATTTTGCCGAGCTCCTATCTAAAATTGGCACCACAGAGCTTCCCACAGCGGCACAACCCGCCATGCAAGGGCGCTGCTCATCAATTGCATGAAGCCTCTTTCAAACTCCTCTGACAGAGGCGACTTGCACAGAACGTGAAGTCACACTCAACATGAGCATGCTTGTGATGCAATCCTGCGAGAATTCGTCCATGAATCGGTTCGGATCCTGGACAAAAAGCTGCATTTGACGTTGGTGCCCATCCTTAGAGCAAAACAAGCTTGATGCTAGGGCTTCTCACAGGTTCTCACGTTCTCAGCATCCGGCAGACATGCGGTGACACTTAAATCCATTTTCATCGCGACATTGCTTCTGACACATCTGGCAGTACCACCGCAGCCTCAGTACAACTCCGAGCAGACAGCACCAAGTGCATGCATCTGATGGCACGCCATGTGAGCTTAAGAAAAGAACTTCTGAAGACCCTTCGCTTTCATCTTGTTGCCTAGGCCATTCAAGGTGCCAGACGCGAGCCAGTACCCCATCGTGCCAAATGCGTGGCGAGACCATCGGTCTTGAGTTTTTCAGTACTTGGAACACAGTAAGAGCTTTGCCCAACCATTTTGTGGAGCCAACCTGCAGAAAGTCCAAGCAGAGGTGTCATGTGAGGAAGAAGCAGAAGAACCACAAGAACCGGAACTTCACGTCCCTTTGCAGCCTCCTGCTTGGGCATCTTTAGCAGGAAGGTGCATGCGATGAGCAATGGGGCTACTCTATGCTACTCTCACGAATCTTGCTACCCAGTCTTCCTGTCTTTCCGCCCATGCGCAGATGCCCAGAGTGTCGCTTGCGCCCCCCTTTTGAAGCTTCCTGCGCTCCTCCATGACTATGAACAAAAGCTTGGGTCTTGAGGTCGACCCGAACATGATGCCTGTAGGAACTCCATACAGGACTTGAGGTAAGATACTGTCATAGACATAGGGGCCTTGTGGCGCAGAAGTCATGGAGCTGAAACGCTTGGCCATGCCACAACTTATCAGACACTACCAGCACACTGAGTCTTGCAAGGATCAAGCGGCATGTCTTTTTTGTGTCGGCTCGTGGTGATCTCTCTTTTGCAGCACTGTAGCACAAGCAGCCGTGCTTCCCTTGATTCCCAGGTTAGCTCGGCCCCCTGGCCAAAGGCGCATGAAGTGGGAAAACTCTACTGTCAGACATGCAACTGCGATGTTCAAGTCTCGGGGAATGCGTTCGGGACTAACGGCTAGCGGCATGGTTCGTTGGCCTTTTTGTTCCCAAAATCTGAAGCAAAAAGGATGTGAAGAGCCTGCATCCCAACAAACAGGATCTATTATGGCATCTTCCTCTCCAGCAAGGCTATGCCGAATCGCAATTGCATAAACACTGTGGTCAACCCAGCGGCACTTTCGTGGTACTGGACTCGTTTCGTGGGCCACAGAGCTAAGGTATTGCGAATTGGTAAGCTGAAGTGACATTGCATTTAGCTGTTTGGAAATGCAAAAAAGCTTTGACTTCTGAACGTCACAAGCGGTTTCCAACCGACAGACGAACGGACAATAGCCGACAGCGATGCCTGCGTGCAACGTCGGAGGCAACACGAAGAATATGCCGTTCGCACGTGAAGGGAGGTCTTACGCGAATCGCTGCCGAAGCCATCACCTAGTGCGTTAGTTAATGAATCTGTGGCACTCTCGGCAGGCAGTGCTGCGGCACGTCACATTTACAGGGCTTACACCCCATTCTTGGTCAGTCGAGGCACAAGCTGGGCTTCATCCTGAAAAGCGAGAGCGAAGTGCTCAGCAACAAGCAGGGAGATTGGGCTCTGGCCGCTTTAGGCTATCACAAGGAGCGGACCGAGCTGTGTCGCGCAAAGATTACCTGCAAGAATGGACACCACAGCCTTTCCGCAAGAGAAGGCGAAGTTGAACTCCACCTCCTAACCTACTGGCGTCATGTCATCTACATTCACCTGCAATGCCTACATCAGTCACAGCCAAGTCTCTTGAGCACCGGAACGCCGGAGCCTGAGGGTTTTTAGCATGGAGCTTCTGGAGGCCAAGTTTTGAATGCCAACAAACAGCCTTTCACTTCGTCTTCCAATACTCGAATAGCTTCATCAAGCGGAAGCAGCTTGTGTCTCAGCCTGGCCACATGGTACACCCCACGAGCTGGCGTTCACAGGATGTGCTTGCAACGTCCATGACACGGAGTGTGTCACTTTACGTCAATGTCGGGACGCCGGGCCTCTCAAAGGAAGGGCCTGAACAGGACAAGTCGACTATGTGGAGATGCCTCGGCGAATGTCACTGCACAGGAAAAGATGGTTTTCGCGAGCAGCAGAATAGTGGACTACTACAAGCCGCAGTCCAGGGGCAAGCAGGGAACCCCAGTCAGCGGCCACGCCTTGGCACAGGGCGTCTATGTGCCTACGGTCCTACCGTAAAGCCGAATATGCTCTGCAAAAAGACTGATTTGGGGCCACAAACAAACAAAGGCGGCGCACAACACGAGATCCGAAGTGAAGTGTCTTATGCTTCAGATCAGGGCTCGAGGGCTAGGGAAAGAACCACTGAAATTTCGCCCACTAGGCGCACCCGGATGGTCTCTGGTCCGGTCTGTGTGACACGTCCACTGAAACGGGGAGCCGGTTTTTACAACTCAACACCTGGGCGAGGGATCCGCCCCGAGTAAACCTTTCGGTCCCCCCAAAACGCGCATGCCTATCTCAGATTGGGTTGTGGGTGTGTGTGACCCGCCCTTTCATTATGCCCCGGCCTGCATTGTCAACTACCCTTAGTTGAAAGGGTTGCACTCACATGTACAGTGATTAGCAGAGCAGAACCCGAATGCTGACATGCGTCACGATTGCTTTTCAGTGCCACGCATGCGCAGCTGGCCATAGCCACAATTTGCTCTGTAGGAAGATGGCGAGAGGCACACGAGAAGCGCCAGAAGCTCGTAGGGTTCTGGGCATGCCGTTCTCTTAGCAGAGAACAGGTTGAGCATCCAGATTTCTCTCACAGAGAACTTGAGATACTGGGAACAACCTCCGTCGATTCGGCGGCGGATAGACGAAAGGTGCGCGGAAGTGGAATCAATACGGAGGCTTCGACACGGCGATACCCATTAGAGGTAGCGAGCTAGCGAGCTGTCGGACCTGCTAGAGGCCGGTCTGGTTCCTATCCCAGAAAAATCACTGATACGATAAGTGAACCGGAATTTACACTTCGCCTTGTGCGTTGCGGGAACTTCAAGGAAGCTTCTGGCATTAGACTGCCGGAGCCTGGTGTCCCACCTGAACTCCGAGCAGCCGGCGAGGGTGCAGGACAAGAGACTGCAGACACGATGGCGGAAACTGGATTGACACAGCTACTCAAGCGGCGCGCTGTTTGACAAAGCCCATGAAGCCAGACTTCCGGACGAAATCACAAACTCAGGAAAGGTGGTACCACGTGATATGGTCTACCGACTGCCAGGAGTTTGTAATCATTGCGAGGGCATAGACACGGCATAGCACAGTCTAGTGTACAGGAACCTGATACCCAAGCAGCTGTGAACAGGTCCTGACAGGTTGAGTGTGAATGTGTATAAAGCCAGGGTGCTGTGCGTTCATACGCCACAGAGACGTGAACTTAGGTCTATGCATCCTGCTGCTGCTTAGCGCCCTTGAGTCACAGCAGTCTAAGCAGCCTGGATGAAAGGAGAATTTCGCCAATCGTCAGAGTTAACAAAGCTGCGAGCTTTTTTTTATCACTTGAAACAAACCTGCATGGATAATACGTCCACTCCTTTAGGACCTTTCAATCACTTCAAAGAGAATGGCACGGCTAACAAATCCATTCCTGTGAAAAAGAACTGCATGGTTTACAAATCCGTTCTTTTGTGCCCCTTCAAACAGACGTGTATGGGAACTCCAAAAGTAACGACAGTTGCAAGGATGGCCCGCCCCACATGCCTCATCCTCGCTACTGCCAGTTCGAGAATGGCGACAACACTCGTGCCTCAAGCCGCAACACCAAACCAAGCTTGAAAAGTGACGACAGTTACAAGGATGGCGAAGCCCACAAAGCCTCGTCCTCGTAACTGTCAGCACTTTAGAATCAACCGTCACCCAAAAGTGACGACAGTTGCGAGGCTTGTTCAAGGCCTCATCCTCGTGACTGTCCCCATTTTTTGAGACATGCAAAGCCCAAAACGATGCCAAAACGCTGGGCTTCCGCACTACAGCGACGCGCGCTACCGCGACCGCTTCCGGCCCTCCGGCCGACCCGTCCGAACACTTCCTAATGCTTCCGAACGCTTCCGAACGCTTCCGAACGCTTCCGAACGCTCCGAACATCTCCGAACGCTCGGAACATCTGGAACATCTCGGAACGCTCCGAACGCTTGCGGTCACAGGAATGCACGATGTCGGCTAAACTCCTGGACGATTGGAACCCAATCTCTGGTTGAACCTGACAACTCTTGGGACGGGGGCCTTCTTCCCCAATGAGAACAGCTGAAACATGCAGATCAAGCAGCCGCAAGAAGGAACGCCGTCTTCTCTGGGGGTGACCAGCCAGGTGCATGCTGAACCTTCGTCCCAAGCGTGAAGAGTCCCTAGATGAAGGATGCACCACTGGCCCCAACCAAAACACAAAGACTTTGCAAGGCACCCAATGCACCGCGGCTTTCTTCATTTCCTGGTTCGAAGATGCACGTTTGTCTTGGAGGACTGGTTTCACATGCCTTCACTCCTTCTGCTGGCTTTCCGAACTCTACGCAGCAAACCCGCGGTCGGCTTTCAGCACAAGAACTGACTGCAGACACCCCGTAGGAACAAAGGAGCGCCTGCAGCTTCGCCAAAGCATACGCAGAACCAGAGTCCATGCCCATGGAGATTACATTGCAGAACTCCTGCAAAAAGGATGCGTTGTAGCAGCAAACCAT